GAGAAATAAGAGAGCTGTTTTTTCGTATGTGGAGGAAAAGATCAGGCAACGAATTGGCTCGTGGAGTAAAAAGTTACTTTCTCAGGCTGGTAAGGAAGTGTTATTGAAAAGTGTAGCGCAATCTATGCCTACCTATTCGATGAGTGTTTTCCTGTTACCTGAGACAGTTTGTCAGTCAATTGAGCGAACTATGAATAAATATTGGTGGGGGAATGGAAGAGAAAGGGGAATACATTGGAAGGCATGAGACAGGTTGTGCATACCAAAGAAGTATGGTGGTATGGGTTTTAAAGAACTAAGGGCTTTTAATCTAGCTATGCTGGGTAAACAGGCATGGCGTTTTTTAACGGACCCAGAATCACTTGTGGCTAAAGTTTATAAGGCAAGGTATTATCCCACAACCAGTTTTACAGATGCAACTATTGGTAATTGCCCAAGTTACTGTTGGAGAAGTATAATGGCAGCTCATGCAATGGTAGTCTCAGGGGTGCGAAGGAGAATTGGGAATGGGCAGACAACTTTAATATGGGGACATCCGTGGTTACGAGATAATCCTAGCCCATTGATTCAAACAGAAATGCCACAGCAATTGAGAGAAGCGCGAGTTGCAGGATTAATTGATTTACAGACTCATACCTGGGATCCACATATTTTGTCTGACTTATTTATTCCTGAAGATGTGGAGCGAATAAATATGATCCCTGTGAGTCCTGAGTATGAGGACTCATGGTATTGGATGAGTGACCCCAAGGGGATATATACAGTAAAGAATGCCTATAGGCATATTGTGGGTGATTATGAGAATAATCCAGCGGATTTTGATAAATGGATTGCAATGTGGAAAATAAAAGTCCCCCCAAGTGGAAAACTTTCTTGTGGAGAGCCATATGTGACATTTTGCCAACAACCCTAAACTTGATATTTAAAAGGGTGGAGGTGGAACCAACATGCCCAATGTGTGGTTTAGATCATGAAGATGTGTTACATGCTTTAGTACTCTGTGAATATTCTAGACTTGTTTGGAATATAACACAATTGCCTGTTATTAATATTATTGCAGACTCTTTTACAACATGGCTAAAAGGGGCTATGTCGGTCTTAACGGAGGAGCAGACCCGGTTAATGGTAGCAATATTATATTATATTTGGAGAACTCGGAATTCAGCTGTCTGGAAGGGATCAATGATGCGGCCTGCCCAATTAGCCAGAGCAGCCACTGTAGCACTACAGGAATACGGCGCTGCCCATGTCCGCCGAACCGAGCTGGCAGCAGCATCGGAGCACTTAAACGGTTCAGGGGAGGGCAGTCTACGGTGTTATGTAGACGCGGGTTTCAGGCACGACACGGGCGAGGCTACGTACGACATGATAATAATAGCGCCAGATGGCTCTTTTGTGGCAGCAAGGAATGGCAAGTTACCGGTTTGTTTTTCACCACTTATGGCGGAGGCCCAGGCATACAAGGAAGCACTATCCTGGCTACTTGAACGAAGCAACACATCAGTAAGTTTACTCACAGATTGCATGGAATTGGCTACGATTATTCGACGCCATCACACGCCGATCCATTCGTACGTTGGGGTCACAATTGACCAGTGCAGAACGTTTATGTCTTTATTTAATCGTATTACTTTGGATTACATCTCTAGACAGGTTAATTTACATGCGCATACTTTAGCTACGTTAGCATTTACACAAGATCAAGTTATGTACTGGGATGTTATCCCACCTGACGCTATTTCGACTTTGATTCATTAATACAATCGCAAGATTGGCCCTCAAAAAAAAAAAAAAAAAAGAACTTTCAAAGCTCAAATAAAAATTATACCACACAACATTAATTTTATGGACAAAAAAAAAAATAATAAGATACAAACTACTAACACCTTCTACAATCGTTTTAACTTTTCATATGGGATTTTCCAATCCTCTTCATTAGGAAATTGTGGCTCCTATATGACCAAGAATGAGAATGGGATACACACTAATTAAAATTATGTGAGATTTTATTCTTTTACATTATTGAAGATATGTAAGTATTTTAATTTTTTTTCAAAATTTAAGTGCATGCCTTATATAATTTACTCCGTATCAATCTAACATAATTTTTTTTATCAATTCACAATTGACTATTTTAATATGTTTTTTTGAATCGGGGGTTCGAGGGAAACTTAAGGGGCCGTTTACTAACTGGAAATTTCTGAGAATTTTCGGAAACTGGAAAATAGAAAACAGAAAACATGTTTACTAACACAGTTTCCATTTTCAAAACTGAAAATAATTTCTGAAAATTTCCGGAAAACTGAAACACACTTAAAAACTGTTTTCAAAATAGAAAACAGAATCATCTATCATCTATTTAGTTATATGTCACTATAACCACATTACTATGATTACATTCATTATCATCTTATTTTACTTATCACTATCTTCTATCTTTTCTACTTACCTTACTTATTTAAACATAATTTATTTGCTTACACTTTAAAGTTAGACATTATTTACATTATCAAAATTAAGAATTAAACTCCATATAATGTTTTAGATTTTGATTGAACTCAATAAACTAAATTTTAGGTGAAAACTAAAAAATTAGAAAACAGAAAACAGAGAACAGTTTTATGTTAGTAAACAAGTTTTCTAAACAGAAAACATAGAATTGAAAACAAAGAATGAAAACTGAAAAATTAGAAAATGAAAACAGAGAACAGTTTTCTGTTGGTAAACAGAGAACAGTTTTCCTCCAGAGCTAGCAATTTCTCTAACTCTACGATCACAAATAGTTCATTACTTCATTTATTTCAAACTTGAGTTTTTTGCACTTTTGATCCCACAACATTAGTGGCACTATCAGAATTGATCCACAACTTTCAAACCTTGCAATTTAGTCCACAACTATTATTTTTTTTGGCAAAAATGGTCCTTCCGATCACTTTTTCGTCAAAATTTCATCGGAGTAAAATTTCTTCATTTTTAAAAGGGCTAAATTTGACATTTCCCTTAACAATTCTTTCTAGATCAAAAACAATTCTTTATTGCAAAATATGGCAGCAAACAATGAGTAATACAAGCCCTCTTAAACATGTCAAATTTAGCCCTCTTAAAAATGAAAAAAATTTTACTCCGATGAAATTTTGACGAAAAAGTGACCGGAAGGACCATTTTTGCAAAAAAAATAATAGTTATATACTAAAATTGCAAGGATTGAAAGTCGTGGATCAATTCTGATAGTGTCACTATAGTCGTGGGACCAAAAGTGCAAAAAACTCGTTCAAACTTTTAAATTTCAAAATTTATTCAAGTATTCAACTTAGAGTCTATTTTTCACTCTCAAAGACATAAACATTAATTTTAGTAATTATTTTTTAGTGTTTTAATTAATTGAAATTACAAAATACAAAATAATAAAATTTGACAAACAAAAACTATTGAATAAAAAGGAAATTAAGATTTAAAAACATCACAAACCGACTCAAGATCAACTTGGTTGAGACTTCTAACTGGTACTATTTTGTCTATGCCTTCTAAGAGAAGTTGCTTAACCCAAACCATGGAAATCTCTACTTCGAGGGATTGTCCATATCTCTTCAAACTTTTAGTTTGAATGCTATCGATTCTGTTGTAGCCCAAATAGTCAATACCCTATCACCGAAATTTGATCATGACCTTCTCTCAAGGATAGTCATAGTCTCACAGGGCTGAACACAAAGTGCTTGGCACCCTTCAAACTTTTTTTTTTTTTTGAAGGCAACCAATAAGGCATATATTAGAGAAAAGATGTAATAGTGTCAGGAAGGCTTGACTCCCAGTACATAGCAGAAGGCTGAGTAAAAGTAATAGAAGCTAAAGTATGAGCTATTAAATTAGATAGACGATCTAGGTATAAAACTGACTACACAATGGTCTAACAAAGAAATAGTAAATCTACAACTGTCGAAGGCATAGCCGACGTAGGAACGAACTGACTCCGTAGACGAAAATAAGCAGTGCTGTAGACTCGAACAATCCGTGAGCAACTCAAGTGATCGCTCCCCACGATCTCTTAACCAAGATAGAACCTCTTTACATGCAAAGGCCTCGGCCATTAGTGGTGAAAAGCAGGGCGGTAACAAAGCATTGAAGGCCGCAACATAAGCCCCATTCTCATCGAACGATACCGCTCCCACCGTAGCTTCGTTGGACAATGAGCGAAAACCGGCGTCGAATCGACATGACCGCAGCCCGGCCGTACTCTCTGTGGCAGCAGGTTGCGGCATGGCAGTGTGGTCCGAGGCAGTGACGTGCATGGGTGCAGCAGCGTGGTCTTCGACAGATTGTGGCGACAGCGGTAGCAGCTCCAACAGCCGATGATCTTGCATCCGTATGTGCACAACGCCATGCATGCATAGCGAACCTAGCGGATGCCACGACCTTTTTCCGGGCTAGGAGACACGCATTCCAAATTGCACCCTTCCTTGCCTTCCAAATAAAATATAGAATAGTAGTAATGAGGAATATTTCGTTAGAGTCTAGAATACTCAATACTTCTTCAAACCAGGAATGAAAAACATTTATGACACTAGTAGGAATTGAGAGGTGGGATTCTCTCCAAACGGCTTAGCAAAATCACACAACACCAAAGAATGCATGGTGTCATATGTGATACCACACATGGCACATAAAGAATCAACTTCCACCCTCTTTATAAACAAGTTTTTTATGGTGGGAAGGATATCTCTAAAAACTCTCCATAAAAAAGTTTTCCATTTCAGGACACCCTTCGAAATACTATACATATTACTTGCTGATGCACAAAAAAAATTCACATTTCAAAAACATTGTGTCATAATTTATAAAATTTTACGATCGTTACCTTAATTTTAAAATATTCAAAAATAAATTTCTTAAAAAGAAACTAATAAACTAATATTTATACATAATTTTTTTTAAAATTACAGTTGCTAGTCCTATATGGTACCTGCCAACAACTACTACACTCGATACTCAGATACTCAGTAGCATACTACAGATTAGGCTTAAAATGCAAAAACATCCTCAAAATTTCAGAATTTTTAAAATGATAAAATGTAGATCCCAGATCTTCAAGTTCTGCTTTGAAAAGAGGTCCACCAAGGCACCAACATCTTGGGGAAGTACACATCCTTTCTTCACCTTTTACTCCCCATATAAAAGCAAATGACAATGTGGGTGATAACCTTTGGGCTTCAGAAATTCATTTGGGAGTTATGTTGTTACTGCTTGCGTTCTGTATCAGCCATCAGGAACAAAATAGCTTGAATCTAAGGAAGTCTTGAGACGCCACCCTTCCGGTTCATTCAGATACTGCTTTGACTCTATATAACTCCGGAGCCTGGTGGTGACTGGGCTTGACTGTAAATCTTCAATTGCTTTCATGAAGTCTTTGGCAATGATATTCAGTAGTTTCTCGAAATGATACTTGTATTTCCTGTATAGTACAAAACCTGCCATCTGCAGATATGGCATGAGAACCTTGTGAGCAGAGTAGCTAGTTGAACTTGTAAACAATGTATAAATGAGTATATGTAATATGAGAAAAACTTCCTAGTCAAACTCGTAAATAATGTTCAACTGAGCATAAGAAATAGTTGTTAGCCAACATACTTCAAGAAATGCTTGTAGCGCAGTAGCAGTATACAAGTTTGCCGGGACCGCATTTAAGAATCTAGCCAACCATGCCCAACCTTCTTGGTGGCCATGCAAGTTTTGGAAGCCCTCAACTTCGGTCTGGAAGACACGTCTCATCAGATACAAACAAACTCAAAAAGTCGAACTAACAAAATTAAATAAATACCCCTTATCAAATTCTATTAGTTATAAAAGAACTAAGGGGGGACAAAAAAACGAAGCAGCAAACCTGAACAAGAGCTCCATAGAGTTTCATGTAGGCACATAACCGATTTAGATAACTATCAACAGTTTCGATCTTTCCATCATCTTGAAAGCCGATAGCTCTATAGTAAGCTTCTTTGGTCTTGAATACTGACTGAAAGTTGCCATGGGAAATGTACTTAAGCAAGCAATAAGGGGGCGGGGAAAGTACGAATGAGGAAGGTAAAGTACAGAATCAAAAGTGAGTTAATTTAGTCACTCGGCTATTCTATTTTTCCACTTTTGGTCCTTGAGTTTAAAATTTACCAAATTTGATCCCAAACTATTGAAAATGTGCCATTTTCAGTCCAAAAATTGCTAGATTTAGAGGACCAAAAGTTGTAAAACTCAATAGTCACGGTACCAGAGGTCCAGAACTAAAACTAATTCAATCAACTATGTCCACGTGGTAATTAAGTCGTGATTGAGAAAAATTACATTGAAACAGGAACATTGATGCTATTTAGCTACATTAAAATATTTTAACCACAAATTGCACCAAAAGAAACAAAATGATAGATCACTCTGGAAGTTAAAATACTAACTGAATATGTCAAAGAAATATTAATTACCTGAGAATAACTTATATGCTTTGGGACTGTATAAATGCATACTTTGTTCAATTCAGCTATGAGAATATCCATTGCAAGTGGGACCTGACGTCAAAGAAAATAGAGTAAAATCAAGAAATAAGAAGCTTTTGGACCTAACTGATTCAGTTGGACTTGTATCACTTGTTAGCCATCTCAATATTAAGGGCAGAGAACAAAAATTTATAAGGGTAAAGGAGATGGCAAATTAAATAGTACAATTACGGGTGCATTTTATTAGAATAGAAAGAAAGTGAAAAATAAAAGAGTCCATTTTGTTTTTCAAACAAACCATGAAGCTTTTAGAGCTAACTGATTCAGTTGTATCACTTGTTAGCCATCTCAATATAAAGGGCTGTGAATGGAAATTTTTAAAGGAGAGAGCACATTAAATATCTTTTTTGATTTTTTTTTTTTGGTGGGGGGGGGTGTTTGTTGTTAGTCAACCACAACATATTTGTTAAGAAACTCTCACAAAGGAAGGATTCAACATCAATTAGAAGGATAAAATTATATTCATTTGCTATTGTCCCATTTTAATCAATTTAATCCCTCATGTTCTTCGGCATTCCAATTTCTCATATTTGTTAAGAAACTCTCACAAAGGAAGGATTCAACATCAATTAGAAGGATAAAATTATATTCATTTGCTATTGTCCCATTTTAATCAATTTAATCCCTCATGTTCTTCGGCATTCCAATTTCAATTGCAACTAATTTAAAAATTGGAACACATTCTCAGTTTTTCAGAGCTTACTTCGACGTCTTTGTCCTGTAGACAATAATAACTACTAGTTACCTGAAATAGCAAGGAAGAAACAAGACGATTTACCTTTGATGTAACAAGAACAATTACACGGCCATAAGCATAAGGGATACTGTTAGAGTTTCCAGCACGACTCACACACCAGGAAACCACCTGCAATATTGCAAACAGGAACATGTTCAGTATACTTGTTTACTCCAAACCAGAATTATGAAGCATATGTTTGCAAAAATGAGCTTAAATACTTCATCATTGCATCAAGAACATACAAACCACCAAGAATGCTCTCTACTCCATGCAGAAAAGGACACCATTAGAGAGAAGGGAGAAGAGGTATTAATCTTAACTCTACCATTCTTCAAGTATAATAAACTAAAACTACTAACCAAAAGAAGGAATGCGTATGATTCAAAAAGTTTCAGAAATCTCTAAGGCACCTTGCTTAGTATGCTTATATTAGAGAAATTAAGCCAGTAAACTGCAAACCGGAGAAAAGAGTCTTACTAAAAACAATAATTAAACATTTACCTGTTCGGCAAAGATAGCAATGCTGATGGATTGAGGACATGGTGAATAATTTATTAACTTAATCAACTCATCTGCTTTCACACTGTGGAAGAGGAAATAGTAGGTGGGCAGTGTATCAAAAACAATACAATTAGTTCAACTTCAAGAGTAATTATCAAAAAAGTTTTTATCATTTGGAAACTATAGGAAATAGACCTAGTCGCCTAAACATAGGTATCCTTCTCACCTGATATTTTCTTTTACACCAGAGATGGTTCTAATCCTCCTCCGCATGTCATTTTTATGTGTTTCATATTCCTGCTCAGAAAGAAGTTTGTCAATAATTAATGACATAATATAATACTGTATTATACACAAAATATTAATGTCAGTTACCATCATTGGAATTAAAAATGTGGGGCAATTTGTTTTAACCACAATTTATGTCCTTATTGATGAAATATTCATTATATCTCATCCTTGCATGTTAAAATATAAGGGATGTTTAATAGATTCTCACGAAACAAATGTGAGAACTTGAACCCTACTTCAGCCACACTTTTTTAAGTGAAATAGAGTACATGATTAAATATACACAGAAATTATATGTTCCTCCTCAGAGTAGAAAATGATAACAGTTAACAAATCTAAGCATAAAGCTCTTTTGATAATGATTACCCTTTTAGAGCCCAAACCCAGAGTCTCATTTTTTACAGCTAATTCCTTATAGATCTTCAATCTTTTCTCCTCTAAATTCAAAGCATTTTCTGCACCTTTGACAATCTTTCCTGCCACAATGCAAAATTACAACCTCAGAAGGCAGATACCCATGAGTAAGCACATATGTGATGTTCATTTTACAATAAGTGTATTGTGACTTGTGTCAAAAAGATATACTCATTTTGAATTGTAAATTATGAAGAAAAAAAAATCACCAAAATGGCTACGATCAAAATGCACCTCGTGATTGTAGAGAATTTTGTACATCAGATCCTAATTCCACTGCCTGCCCTGAGACCTTGTTTACAACCACAGGAGCATCAGCTGTATTATTCTTAACATTCTCAGAGGCTTTCTTCTCTGCAGCCTCCTCAGCTGCTTTCCGCTGGGCTTCCAATTCCGCTACTTTTGCTTTTTCAATTCTTTCGGCTTCTAGTTTAGCTTGCATCTGGTAAATAAAAATTTATGAGCACTAACAAAGCTGAGTATTCTATTTAAAATGTTCGTTTTCTAACAAAACAAGAAGAGTATCATAGTGAATAAGTGTAATTCATAGTAGATAGAATGGTCCAAGAAAAAGGTATTTAAATGAAGTAATTAAAAAATTCGATGGAAAAGATGAAACAGCAACAGCTCACATGGTCAAAGGATAACCGTGAGAAATGTTGAACAATAAATTGAGGTCTTGAAGTCATATGTTGCACAAAACAAAGCAACTTTACCCCAAAAAAATCCAAAACAAAAATAAATCTCTTGATAAATACAGTATTTGGTATTAGGAAAAGAAGAATAAAATAATTATAAGCACTTAAGTGACAACTATAATATAAAGGATAACTTCCCAACAGTTATAAAAATTAAATAAATAAATAAATAAAACAAACAAAGGTAAGTGAGTAAAAAATATGCCATGGAATTTCAATAAGAAAAATAAAACAAGTTAATCTGAGATTTTGGGGACATGTAAGAGAGACATGTTAATAGTAAGGATTTCATATTCAAGTACATTTACAGGTTGTACATTTATCTGGAATATAAAGATATTAAATGAGACAGAATCAAACCAAACCTCTGCTTCAGCTCTAATTTTTTCTAGCCTAGCTTTCTCTTCCTGAAGAACTTTCTCTCTTTTTTTGGCCTCTTCACGGGCTGCATCATCTCTTATTCTCCTTTCTTCTATTTGGGATCTATGTTCATGATCCCTTTGTACGGCTATCAAGTGATCATCAAGTGCTTCTGCACTATTATATAATCCAATAAAAGTCAAGAATACCTAAATTCATACCAGAGCACTATATAGGCAGAAAATGAAACAACTAAAAGAACATTTCTTGGTATATAACAAAATAATCCAAACCAGTTAGTAGTATCTTATGGTTAAAGATTCAAAATATCATGAACAGATTCTTCTTTCTAAATATGCTTGAAATGCAGTTTTATATTTTTACGTTGGCATTCCTGATTAAGTAAATGTAGAAGCTTACATTTTGCGCTGATATTGCATGCCAAGTCTCCGATCCATTTCCTGTTGTGTTTCAGCATTCTTCACAACTGTTGCAAGTGTAGAGGCAAACTTCTGTTGTTCACCCATCAGATCTGTTTCTAATGCTAATATTTGTGTTCTAACTTCCTCCTGTTAATTACAGGAATAAAAGGGATGAGGTTTATGCTCTTGCAGGATAAACAGAGAAGTTTGTGAAACAAAATACTAGTAATGTTCATATACCCCTAGATTGCCAAAGTAGCAGCTTTCATGAAAACATAAAAGTACTTGGAATTGATTTTGAAATAAAACATAACTCTCGCTGTTTTAAAACATCATTATATGGAGAGAATAGAATGTAAATGAATAAAGTTGCCTACCGTTGCACTAAGATGATGGTCATGAGTTAACTCAGACAAAGCACCTTCCACCAACCCCACTTTATCCATTAGATGATGTTCAGCTTCAAAGGCTAACTGATCTTTTGAAATATCACTATCACTGAAGAAATATAGAATATCATATTCAGCACTAAAGAAAAGTGAGGACAAACAACAATCAAATAACTTAATTAGCAGTTTTAACATTATTAAACTAATACTAAACTATCAAGAACCTATCCATAGGCCATAATGTACTTTGTGTTTTATCATATCATTTCAAAGGGAGGAGAAACGCACCTCAAATTTATTAAACACCATAAATTGTGAAAAGAGATTGCACATATAAATAATTAATAATCATTGTGAAAGTGCACTTTTTTATCTCAAATCTCAATGTTTCTTTAGTGGACAAAGTACCTTATATCTCATTGAGGCTTTCTATTGATACATATGTATCTCATTGTTAATTAGTTGATTCAACACAATCAATGAGTAGGTACCTTGTATACAGTTCGTCAAAGTTGAACCGCTTTCCCACAGTGGCAGATTGTTCAGAAACCTCATCCTCGCTATCGCTTACTATCTCCTCCACCCGCATCACAAAACCCGTCCGAGCACCACTTTTTGATGTAGACAGATCCCTGAGAAAGAACAGAAAGCACATGTCATCACATGGATGCTAATTCACCATCAACTAATGCAGATACAGTCAATTAACTCATACTACAAATACAGACCGTGGTTGCATTTTGGTATAAGCTGGAAACTTTGGAGATGCAGTAATCTTCCTTTCAATTGAATTGAGCTCCAGTAATAGAGCATTAAAGCTCCAATCAGGTTCTGGATCAAGCGCAATCCCATCAACATTTTCAGGAACAGTAAGTTTGAATTTCACAGCTACCCTGCTCAGAAAAACTCCATAAATCAGCAAAAATTAATCACTTTCAGAAACATAATTCTTTTAATTCCCAATAATAACACAGCCAACTATTCCCATGCCAAGAACATTAAAATGTGAAATGCAAAAGAAAGAAGAAACAGAACCAAACTTGTATAACAATTGAGAAGAACAAGATATACAATTCTTACATTGTGCTGTTGCGTCTGATGAATGATGAACAAACCTAGATTAATAGCAGTACTCCTGGCACCAGCAATGACTCCTTAATAAATCGATGCCTTGGAAAAGATTTTACTTAACTCTCCACGTTATTGAACTACAAACAATTTTATTTCAGCAATTGCAAGTTAAAACCAAAATATATACAATTTACTTTGAATTCAACGTGGTTTGCAAATGTGATTCGCATCTAGAGCTTGAAGAACAATAAAGAAACCACTATAGTTTCACCCACCCACATAAAAAATAATATAACGAAATCACTATAATTCAAAACAGAAGAGTAATGTCTCTAAGACATTTCTTCGAACACTTTGCATTCATCCACATTTAAAAAAAATAAATTAATTAAAAATTTTAAAAAAAATTTACAATATAAAACTTAGACATCTTATTGATTCCCACAAAGAAGGCATTGGTTCTCATCATCTATGGACTCATAATGAAAAATTTTCACAACATAAAAAACCTAGAAGCCTCACAACAATATTTAAAAAAAATTCAAAATTCAAAAATCTCAATAATGAAGCAAGTAAAAGGTATAGATACCTGCAATGGAAAATTTGTTGGTTCCGAAATAGAGAACAGCGTCCACTTTGCAGCAATTGAGCAGGATGAGTTCGATTTTTTTTTCCTCTCTCTAATTTGGTTGTGCCCGAGAGAGTAATCTAGAGAGGGATCGGATTTTTAATCCAACTCCAGTTTGTGGCAATACAAAGAAACTCATTTTTGATTGCGGGAGAAACTACTAGAAAGGTTAATGTCAGCAGCGAGTGAGCAACCAAGGCGTGAAATATTCACCTGGAACTCTGGAAGAAGGAATTCGAAGTTTAGATACGTGAGAAACAGAGTTAATATTCAATATACAATTTTATTTTTATTTTTTAAAAAAATTCAGCTTACTTTTTTAATTAGACTTGTCAAACAAAATCTACGTAACATTTTAATTCGCTGGAATATCATTTGATTTGATGTACTTTGATGTTTGAGAGATACATATGTTTGATGTACTTTGATGTTTGAGAGATACATAGGTTTCATTACCATATTCTGGAATATGTAGGGATGGCAATGGGTCGAGAAGGGATACATTTATCACTATTAAGATTAGTATTAGGATTTTTGTATTTGAGTCATAGTATGATTTTCTATTCTAGTCTTTCTATGATTCCTCGTGTATATATATTCTCAGCATCTGTACAGTTGTAGTTAAGTTCATTCAATACAATTCATACAGTTCTCATCATCACTCGATCAATTTTATATTTTCTCTATTTATTTTCACCCTCAACTCGTATCGAATGGACTTTTTAAAACTCACTCTACCTCACCAGGTGTGAGTGTCCACGATGAGTACTCACCATTAATCATTTTATTTTTTAAAATAATATTTAAATTAATTATACATAATAAAATAATAAAATTCATTAGGGCATCCTCAGTAATGATTTTTTTGTGGTTTTTGTATATGTGATTATGAAAGATAAAATGGGAGGAAGGGAGGCAAAAAAAAAAAAAAAAAAAAAAAAAAATTGTCAGAATAACAACAAATTAAAAAGAATTTTTAAAAAAAGTCTCTAAACGTGCCTAGCGGACGCGTGCACTACACGCACTTGGCTGGGCGCTTGTTTGCTTTGCACGCAGCCAGGCGCAGAAGCAAGGAAAATTTGGTGGGACCCACAGTTGAGACCAAAAATCAAGTTCTCCTGCAATGAGTTTTCTTATTCTCTCTCTCTTTTTTTCTCTTACTTCCACTTAGGAGAGAGAAATTTAAAAACTCGTGTAAAAACCTTCTCTCTTTTTTCTTTTTTTTTTTTGAAAACCAACCACGGAAACTTTTATAGATTACTTAAGTCATTGTTGGATATTCGTTGGTGAAAAACAAATAATAATCAAATAAATAAGATTATTATTTTTTCTGGAAAAAATAAGGGAATAAAAGATGGAGAATTTGGCTAGTGTTCGGTGTTGGGTTTTTGCAAGAGTCAAGCGATCACTCTTTCCTTAAAACCTTATTTGCCACCTCCCAAAAGTGTTAGGAGCTTCGTGGCCTAGGCTTCCCAGGATAAAACTTGCTTGTGATTCAATGTTTGAGCACCCAAACAAGGAATCCGGCGAACAAGGCAAGATTATGAACACAGTAGGCAAAGAAATAGTAGAAGCAGAGAGTTTTGAGGCTGGAAATTATGTTTTTTTCTTGTGTAAAAATTCTGTTGTCCAACTCATTCTTATATAGGGGTGTTGGAGTGATAGCATTCAATGGATGTCATTTAAATTGGTATTAAAACCAATTCTATAACACTTGAAACAGCAGCCCCATGATGTTGAAATTAAATTCAAAAATTATAGACACTTGAATCAAGCCTTTCCGATCCCGTTTCTAACTAACAAGTGAGCCCCAACATTGGCCGAACGTTTAACAAAACATAAAGAAATATTTGAAAAAGAACCGAGAAGATAAAAAATATCATTAAGGATTAAACTAAACGGTGAGAAATTGTTATTATTATGAAGATGATTCAGAACCAGGTGGGCGTCCGTTTCCACAATAACATTATCTAAATGCAGACCTTTTAACCAACTCATGGCCTCCGGAATAGCTAAAGTCTTAGCATCCCTAGGAAGCAGAGCCCCATGCTTCCCCACCACTCCAACAGCTAGAAAATGACCATGCCAATCTCGTAAAACCCAGCTAGTCCAACCGCATTGTTACTTCCCGGATAGCCGCATCAACATTCAGTTTCAAACTTCCTTGTACCGGAGGCTGCCAGTGCATCACCGATGTCTCACAATTCTGGTTTCTAGTACCACCATGCGCATGATGTTGCCTCCATTCTCTAAGGAAACCCAAAGCATGTTGGACAACATTTCTAGGTGTGGTTCTCACTCCTTCCCAAAGCTGCGAACAAATACCCCAACACAAAACAATAAAATGACAAACTTCACTCACAGTAAGATTAGCAAACCTACCCTCAATCCATCCCAAACATCCTCATCCCTTACCACATGACCCCCCCCCCCCCTTTTCCCCCCTCCCCAACCCATAAGCCTCACACACGCACAGCAAACTCAAGAAAAAAACACATGCGCAACAGTCTCACTTTAAACACCACAAAACACACACGCAACGCCACAATTAACCCTTTTAGAGAGAAGAATCATCTTAGTATGTAAAGACTTTGAGCATAGATTCCAAAAAAAGAACATTTAACTTTAGGAGGAAGATGAAGATTCCACATCTTAACCCAACGAGACACCCCCTCCCCCCCCCCCCCCCCCCCTCAATCCTCAATTAAAAGACGATAAGCAGATTTAACAGAATAAACACCATCCCCAACCCCTACCCAAAACATGGTATCCACCCCTTTCGAATGAGAAATATGGACCCTAATGATCAACTGCTTATCCCGGTTAGAAAACAGGTAATCTAAAATCTCCAAATCCCAACCATCTAACCCCTCAGTCATCAAACAATCAACAATAATGTGTTGCAAGGGCAAATGCACAGGGGTGTCAATACAAGGGTTGTCAAGAGACGGGAGCCACGGATCCCCCCAAACGTGAACCAACCTTCCATTTCTCACCATCCACTAAAAGCCCCCACGAAGCTTGTCCCAAGCCTCCCACATACTCCTCTAAACATAGGAGGGATCAGTCCCTAATTGAGCATAATGAAAAAAATTCCACGGGTAGTACTTAGCCCTAAACACCCTAGCTACCAAGGACTCAGGCCTAGTCATGAATCGCGACCCTTGTTTCCCCAAAAGAGCAATATTGATAGCATGCATACGCCGGAAACCTAACCCCCAAACTTCTTTGGGACACACAAGTTTGGCTACCTTCTCCACCGAATACCCCCATGATCTACCATCCTCGCACCACCCCGCCAAAAGGAATTAAAGAAACGATCAAGCTCATTACAAAGACCCAAGGGAATCAAAAAGACTTGCGATGCATAATTCGGTATAGTTTAAAGGACAGTTTTCATCATAATCTCTTGGGCAGCTCTAGACATATGACGGTTAGTCCAAGAATAAATCATAGCATTAACCCTCTGTTTATTCCACCCTAAAATATCATTCTTTCGTCTACCCACAAGGCATGGTAGCCCCAGGTATTGACCACCCAAATTGGGACACCGGACCCCTAACTCCCCACAAACAACATCCATATCTTGCCCCCACATCCCCCCATCCCTCCCCTCCCTTCCCAATTTAATTCTGACTTATCAAAATTCACTACCTGACCTGAAGCAGCCCCAAAAATACTCAACATATCCTTAATAGCCCCTGCCTCCCTACAATGGGCTTCGAAAAAAATGAGGAGGTCATCCGCAAAGCATAAATGGCTAACGGCAAGAACCCCCGAGCAATTGTCACCCCATGGATCTGACCAGCCTCCTCCCTCACACGCAAAAGACTACTAAAACTCTCCATTATCAACAAAAAAAAAAAAAAAAAAAAAAAAAAAAAAAAAGATAAGGCGATAAAGGATTCCCTTACTTAAGTCCCCGGCCAGGATAAACAGGACCCCATTCATCCCCTTCGATAAGAACATGATAATAAGCAGTAGTAACACATTTCACGACCAAACCTACCCAATGACAATCAAACCCCAACCTCAAAAGAACCTGCTATGAGAAAGGCCACTCCACCCGGTCATATGCCTTGCTCATATCAAGCTTTAAGGCCACATACTGCTCACCCCTCTTCCCATACTGCCTATTTAGAAAATGGTTAATCTCATAAGCCAAAAGAACATTATCCACAATAGATCGACCCGGCACAAAAGCACCATGGGCTTCACCAATGAGACCATCCAACATCCCTTTAAGCATATTTGCTAATACTTTAGCAACAATCCTATAAAGAACGTTGCATAAAACAATCGGGCGTAAATCCCCCATGGTTTTCGAGTGTTTTTTTCTTTGGAATAAGAACAATATGAGTGCTATTTAAACCCCTACAGGCAACCTCCCTTCCCTCATCACCCTCATATATAACAGAACCACCTCCTTCCCCACAACATCCCAATATTCTTGATAAAATCCTAGGTTGAAACCATCAGGCCTCGCGAATTTATCAAGAAACATTGAGAACAAAGCATTTCGTACTTCCCCCTCCGTCACCACTGCACACAACCCCCTATTCTGCTCCTCCGTTACCCTTCCCCGCATAGAATCCATAACCACCCCACAATCTATCCCCTATTGCCGTAGTAAACAGATTTCCAAAATAGCCCAACACAACCCTCCCAATCTCCTGTCTGTCCGACACCGACACACCACACTCATTTTTTATACGCCTAAGAGTATTTTTCAACGACGAGCCTTAACTTTATTATGGAAGAAACGGGTATTCAAATCCCCTTCCCGCAGTCAAAATTGCTTCGCGCACTGCCTCCAATAACCATTCTCACTCTCCAGCAACCCCAAATATTTGGTATGAACAGCCTTGAACTCACTCACCCCCCGCACATCCCTCCTACCCCGCAACTGTTCCATGCGTCTCCTACAGTACTCCACCTCCCGCCGATACTCTCGTCTCTGTCGACCACCCCAAGCTCTCAAACTCTCCCCACACGTCTGGACACCTTCTAAAATGTGCTATTGGTGATACTACTAAAACATAAAATAATAGGAATGTTCAAATATAATAACTAAATTGTTAATTTTTAAAAATAAACTTAGTAGTTTAGAGATATAAAAAATAGTAAAAAGTTACTCATAGTTATAGAAACTTTTATAATGAGTTAATACCCAAAATGGCCATCGACTATAACGGATTTTCTCAATTTCGTCCTAAACAACTTTGGTAACCTAATATAGTCTCAGACTTTTGTGGTTTTGCTCAATTTAGTCTCACATTTGTTATTCCGTCAAATTGGTGTTAAATAAAGCGACAATTCAATAATCTCAATATTGGTCTCTCTTTACTCTCAGACATGTGAAGTGCGAAATCCCTCTTTCTTTTACGAATTACTCCCAAACGTGCGAATCAAATTTTATATTCACATGTTTGAGAGTAATTCTAGGGGTAATTCGTAAAAGAAAGAGGGATTTCACGCTTCGCAGATCTAGGAGTAAAGAGATGCCAATATTGAAATTACTAAATTATCCCTCTATTTAACACCAAATAGACGGAATAATAAACGGAGGACAAAATTGAACAAAAACACAAAAGTCTGGGACTACATTGGGTCACCAAAGTCGTTTAGGACGAAATTGAGAAAAATCACTATAGCCAATGAGCATTTTGGGTATTAACTCCTTTTATAATTAACTACATACTAGTATATATATATATATATATATATATATATATATATATATATATATATATATATATATATATATATATATATGGATGCACTCAGGTGCGAATAAGTGCTCAGGAGGGAAATGCGAACGAATCAGCGCGCGACACGTGTCCAGATCTAATAACTTAAAAAAAACGCGGTGGCATTTTCGTAAATAATTGAATATCGAAGTGCAAGTAAAATCACTTACAAATGCACCTACTTTCACCTATAAGTGCATGTAATTTTGCCTTGTTAACATTCATTGATCTGAGTTCAGCGAGTAGTAATACCCCTGAAATCCACTCGCAAACATTCATACACCTAGGTGCAACTACTTATAACTATGTGTGCAACTACTTAGAACTATAGGTGCAACTAAGTATTGATGCTCAGTGTAAATTTTTACTTGCACCGATAATACATTTTACATGCACTTGTAATACATTTTACTTGCACTTCGATGTTCAATTATTTACGAAAATGCCACCGTGTTTTTTAAAAAAATCAGTGTTTCTTATCCATTAGATCTGGACACGTGGACGGACAGAATCCATTCCTATTTTGCACCTGGGCGAAGCATTCGCACCTGAGTGCGATTCTATATATATATATATATATATATATATATATATATATATATGGATGAGTTCTAGTGCGAAAACTTGCTCAGGTGCGAGGATGCAGTTAGATTTGAGTCTTTGATCAAATCAAGATCAACGGTTCGAATCAATGAAAAAAAACGTACGTATAACAACATCATATTATTAACAAATTACAGCAGCGTATTACACTTTATGTATATTATGACATCATATTTGAATTGAAGTACAGCAATAACAATTTAGCAGCATATTATCCAGTTTTGTTTGGTTTTATTTTTCAGTTTCGTTGTGTGATCAGGTGGACATAAAAATATCTATACGTAAAACAACGCACCTTAAGAAAGAAAACAAAGTACCTTAAGAAGGAAAATAACGCGCATTAAGAAAAAAAAACGATGCACCTAAAGCTTTAGACTGACGCACCTTAAGAAGGAAAATCACGCACCTAAAACCTTAGGCCGACGCACCTTAAGTTTCAACAACTGACGCACCTTAAGCACACAAACCATGCACCTAAAGCTTTAGACCGACACACTTAAATTTCAACAACTGACGCACCTTAAGCACACAACACAAAAACCACGCACCTTAAATTTGACATAGATGCAAACAGACCGAATTGTCACCGCGTTTGTTTTGTTTTTTTTTTTTTTTTTTAAAAAATTTGCTAATCTTAGACATTGATTTTGACAATATCAATGGCCCTCATCTCACCCAATAACCGCATCTAACACACCCAACCACACGGGAACTCATATATATATATATATACACACACACACACACGGTGGGTCGGGTGGGGTTCCATATTAACGATCAAATTTAATGAGTGGTGTTAATAATTGTCCTTTAATATACCATTTTAAAAGTACATAAGGGGTCGTTCGGTTTCACGGAATGTCAGATTACCTTAGCGAATGTTAGATTGTTGGGAATGTTAGGATCCTGTGTTTGGTTAAAACTGAGATATGTAATATAAAGCTGTTTGGTTGAAGGGTTGTTCTTTATGTTATAATGGCTATTTTACTTTAATACCCTCAACATTTTTCATGCATTTCAATATATGAAGTTCAAAAGGTTGCATAGTTCGTAAAAAAGTGGAGGGTAGACTATGTAAAAAAGCAAGGGAATGTTACATAACCTAAGGAAATCAATGGAATTACATTCCCTTCAAAATAAGGAAAATGCTGATGTGGAGGCTAAATAAAATTCCAAGGAAATGTTAGATATCTTCAACCAAACACAGGAATATTATATAACTAGCTAAATATAACCTTAGTTATCTTAGATAACAAGGACATTCCAACTATTTCCAAGTATTTGACCAAATTTTTATTAGCTTTACAAAGTAAGTAATTTTGATACAATACGTTGTAATAATAATAATAATAATAATAATAATAATAATAATAGCATTCAATAATAATAATAATAATAATACTCCACCGGTCCCTTTTATGTGTTGGTTAAGCTTAATTCGAATTATTTACAATTTAATTTTTGTAATATTTAATTTTTGTGTGGAGACATTTATTCTTTTGGCGAGAAATAATTAAGAAAATTTAGAACAGATACTACGTTATAGAGAATTATGAGTGTTTCAAAGAAAATGTTTAGTATTGATATAAAAAAAATTTTATTTATAAACTATATCAAAAGTACTATTAAACGCAAAGAATCAAATTTAAAAATTATAATAAAGTGTTAAGAGAATATAAGTATGGAAAGAATCATTTGTTTAACCAATAAATAATAAACAAGACAAAGAAAATGAGATACCATGTAATGTGATGGCATCTCGGTTACCATTCCAAATGGATGGTCATAGGTTTGAATCCTGAAAATGTTTAAAAAGTATAGAATAGAATAGATACTAACATTCAAAAAAAAAAGAATAGATACTAACATTCAAAAAAAAAAAGAATAGATACTAACTTGTAAAGAATAATGAGTATTTCAAAAAAAAAAAAAAAGATAGATAAAATAATCATTATTCTAATGAACTGATAAAAAATTAGTGTTAAAAGCATTTGCTATAATTATTACAATGTGTAAAACTTTGAACTTTTTATTTACAATATCTTTTAGTTATGATAGGTAATGTGAATGATGAATGTGTAATTTTTTTTAAACAAAATAATGTGTATGGCAACTAATAGCTAACTCATAAAACACTATATAATTTTATGAAAAATATATATTATCTTTGTAACTTGTTTAAGATTTTAAAATTTTATAAAGTATATGTAATTATTAACATCACTTTATGTTATAATGAATTTACTTTCAAAATTTGAAATTATAAATATGAAGGGCAATCTCACAATTCACAAAAAGGAGCTCGGACAACAATATAAAAAAGTTTAGACTTAGTAAATTAAAATAAAATATTTCTTTAAGAAATATCGAATATTATTCATCATTCAATTTAATATATACTCGCATAAAACAAGTTTTAAAAATCATGAAATTTCTAAACAATGAAATATGTAGTTTCCAAAAGAGTAATATTACATACTCTTTCTATATTTTGCCTACAATCTCAATCTCCCTCTCCTAATATAACGTTATTTGATTGGACTTTTGAATATTTGAATATTAACTAAAATTCTTTTTAAATTAATTGTGGGGTCAACCAATTCATGGATATCTAATAAATGAAAGTCACGTTAGAAAAAGACAAAATTAGGTAGGGTAAAAATAATTTCAAATTTCAAAGCAAAGGTTCGAGCGGCATAGTTGGGCCCCTCAAATGAGAGGTTTATGTGCTTCAGTATATTATATTCTAATAGAGTCAATAGCAGGAAAAAAAAAAAAGTCTAAACAAGATATTTTTCTGTTGGCTTTCTTAATTAACCTACTCAACCTTTAATTAAATAAAAAGGGGTATGGGAATTAAATGTAAAAAAAAAATTTTGAAAAGAGAGGGGGCAAGAGAACCGTTAAAGCACAGATCAACGCGACGGTGCCAAGGGCTTCACTAGCCGTTATATTCAAAATATATACAAAACAGGGTGGCGAGTGCCGCTGTTTGAAAGTGGATTATATCCTTCCTTCCGCATTTCCTTTCATAGTCCATTGCCCTAAAACCCCACCTCCTCAAGAACAAGGCATAGAGAGAGAAAACAAGATTGAGGGATTCTCTTTTACCAAGGTAAATCTATTTAATTTATTTCATCGATTTTAAGGAGGTCTCTTCGTATTCCCACTATTCTCCAGGGCTTTTTTCATGCTTTTGAACCGAAAAGTCTTGATCTTTAAATCGAAATTCTTGTAGTATTATTTTCATGATCTGGGTTGTCATTTACATCTCGATTCTTGATTTTTTTTCAAGGGAAAAAATTGTACAGTTTGATCTATCTTTTCAGTCTTTTTTTTTTCCCCCTTGTAGACTACTTGTTTCGGATTTGCTTAGTGATGGGGTTTTCGTAATCTGACGATTCTTTGTTTTATTTAGCCTTTTGTAGTCCAAGATGGTTGGATCAGAAGAGAATTACTCAGGCGTCATCAGGCACTCAAATCTTCACGGTAAGATGAAAACTTCAATGTTTTTTCCTCTTCTCTTTTTCTCAAATGTTTTAGATTTACTTTGGTTTTGAGTTCATTTGATCTTACTTTGGCATCCTAATTTGATTGTGTAATACTGGAAATTTTAGGTGGAGGGGGTTTAATGGCTGGAAGGGGGAAACTTGATGCAGGAATGGGACAAAACCGGAGAGCATTAAGCACCATCAACGGACCTATACAGCATCCTTGTGCTGTCTACAAGGGAAATGTCTTTTCAGAGTAAGATTTCTGAAACCCCAGTATTTCATCTGTTTTCCCCCTTTTGTTCTGAAAAAGATTTGGTTTTCCATTATATTAATGGCTGTGAAAAAAAATTTGGGTTTTATTGAGTATCATCCTTGTTTGCCAAATTTCAAATGTCTTCTTCTCAGATTAAGATTTCTGAAACCCTAGTATTTCATCTGTTTCCCCCCCTTTTGTTTTGAAAAAGATTTGGGTTTTATTGATTATCATCCTTGTTTGCCAAATCTTGAATGTCTTCTTCCCAGATTAAGATTTCTGAAGTCCTAGTATTTCATCTCTTGCCCCCCTTTTGAATCTGAAAAAGATTTGGTTTTTCATTATATTAATGATTAATGATTAATGATTGTGAAAAAAGATTTGGGTTTTATTGATTATCATCCTTGTTTGCCAAATCTTTAATGTCTTCTCAGATTAAGATTTCTGAAACCCTAGTATTTCATCTGTTTTTACCCCCTTTTGTTCTGAAAAACATATTTTTTTTTCATTATATTAGTGATTGTAAAAAAAGATTGGCTTTTATTGATTGCTCTCCTTTTTGATTTGCCAAATCTTGATAGAAATACTGCCAATGTCTCTAACAAGAACCCACCTCCAGGTCATGTTCATCGTCCAGTTACAAGGTCTGATAATTGAAAGGAAATTTTGTTTGAATGACCATGTTTTCCTTATTTTATTTATTTATTTATTTTTAAAAAAAATTAAATTGCTTTCTTGCTGTTTCGATAGGAAATTGGCTGCACAGATGGCTAACAAACAGCAGCATCAGCATCAGCAACCACCAATCATTCAGGTTAATATTTGCCGGGATTATTGTTTAGTTTAAGTACTCTATATATGTTCAGCTTGGTATTTTAGATTCTGACCAATTTCATTGGAACAGGCCACTAAGCCGCCGATGAGTAGCTATGATGTTGACGACTACAAGGCTGCTGCTGATGACTTTGCTGTCCCGATGTTTGTGCAACACACAGAAGCTATGCTGGAGGAAATAGAGGACGAGATGGTATTAGGCCCGACTGTACCTCTAGTGTGGTTTTGGATGTTTTTTTGGACGATTGTTGTTGATTTGTTCTCCGATGCAGGATAAGGAGATTGAAATGGAGGATTTAGAGGAGGAGGATATAGTCTTGGATATAGACAGTCCTGACAAGAGGAATGCACTTGCGGTAGTTGAGTATGTCGATGACATATATGCTTACTACAAGAAGATAGAGGTGAGGCATACTCGTATAAAACTGATAACTTTGTTGATTGTCCACAATGTTAATTCATTTTCGACGTTGTGACAGGGTTCTAGCTGTGTACCCCGAGACTACATGGATCAGCAGCCTGATATTAACGGAAGAATGAGGGGCATTCTCGTTGATTGGCTCATCGAGGTAATACAAAAGAACTAATCTTTGTTTATATCACGAGAAGGGAGTAACTTTACTGACTAATCGAGGTGTATGTATAGGTACATTACAAGTTTGAATTGATGGAGGAGACCCTTTATCTGACTGTGAATCTCATAGACCGATTCTTGGCTGTCCAACCCGTAATGAGGAAAAAACTCCAGCTTGTCGGGGTAACAGCAATGCTTCTCGCTTGCAAATACGAAGAAGTGTCTGTTCCTGTGGTGGAAGATCTCATATTGATCTCAGACAAGGCTTACACCAGACAGGATGTATTGGACATGGTAACATCTATAAATTATATATATATATATAAAAAAAACCAATGTGTTTTTCGTTTTAACTTACTGCATATTTATGGAACAGGAGAAGTTAATGGTTAACATGTTACAATTCAACATGTCCGTGCCCACACCATACGTGTTTATGAGGCGGTTTCTTAAGGCCGCCCAATGTGACAAGAAGGTTTGTTCGCTTTTAAGCAAACTTGGATAATTGACTTTGAGAAAAAGGGAGTCATGTCTTATTGTTTTCTGATATTGATACACAGTCGGAGCACATGGCTTTCTTCATGATCGATCTATGCCTCGTTGAGTACCCGATGCTGAGGTTCCCGCCTTCTCTGTTAGCGGCTGCAGCAATCTTCACCGCTCAAAGCGGTCTGAGTGGCTTCAAGCAGTGGGATCGAACTTGCGAGAAGTATACTTGCTACACTGAAGATCAGCTCTTGTAAGTATAGCCAATCTGCCATGTTTGTTAGTTCTTTAATTTGTTGTTTTCTTGATAATGAAACTTAAAGAAGTGTGATGAATTTGTGTGAACCAGGGAGTGCTCAAAACTGATGGTTTCTTTCCATCACAAGGCAGCAACTGGGAAGCTTAATGCAGTGTACAAAAAGTACAGTACCTCCAAGTATGGTCATGTTGCAAAGTATGAAACTGTGGATTTTCTTCCAGATGAAGAAGATATGGTTTAGGTTACTTAGTTTTTGTGTACCAGGGTGGTGGGGTTTTGGGTTTTAATTCAGCAACATAAGTTGCCCTGGGTGCTTTACATACTGTTATTTCATCAAGACTATATTGAGTTGGATTGATTCTTAATATGAATTTTTAAGTATCTTTGCATATGAACTAGCCTGTTAAGAGCAAGATAGCAACTCCCAAATTTTACTCATTGATGTGATGGGCGCTGGTATGTTATTTTCTTCATGTGGGCTCTGTAAAAGTGTACATCAAAATTTTAAGTGTGAGAGTTGAGGCATAGATTATCTAGATGTAGGTACTTTTATTGGCAAATTTCATCGCACTTGCGGTGTTAGTGTCTGTTTATAACTACTTTTTCAATCTATTCAAGCACAAAGAATTAATCTCGCTTCCACTGAAACTTAATTAGGGGGGGAATTTAATTGAATGTGCTTTAGTTAGCCGCGACTAAGGGGAAATGAGGATTGAAATAATTCCACAATGAATATTGAATATTAAAGTGGGTATTAAAATATTAATTATTCTTTTTTTTTTATCAATGATCAGTGGTGGATATTTGCCAAGACCAAGATTTTTTCATTTCAAGTGTTTAAAATTCTTTATTTATTTATTGCCTCCTTTCAAAAAAAAATTATTTATCGACTTATTATATATTAATCTTTCTTTTCTTTGATTTCTTTTTTCTCATTATATTTCAAACCTCCCATTCTTTTTGTACACAAATGTTAAATTAATTATTTATCGTGAGAATGATCTTTAGTCTCAGTAGTTAATACTATGTTTGTAAGGTTCTAATTTAGAACAACCATTTTTGGGAAGAATGTATAATCATCTATTTCCAAAGTTAGAGGACATATAGCTAATGTATGCCATAATTATATTAGTTTATGTATACTAATCTCTTTTTTCGGGAAGAATGTATAATCATCTATTTTCAAAGTTAAGAGGACATATAAGTGTATAACTAATGTGTGCCGTAATTATATTTCAAAAAAGTAATGATACATTCCACTATTTTACCTATTAATATTAATATTTACTTTATTGTGTAACAATATTTAATTGATTTTTTTGACGGAAGGATTTTTGTGACCTTCCATCAATGAGAGTATAAGGAATGCTTGGCGAGTTGTCGCTACCATGTTTTTTTTAACCTAGTTCTTTACTGAAATGTAAGTACCTTTATTGAGTGAGACAACTGATTTGGAGATTTAAAGTTGCTCTATACTTAAAAGAGTTAATCAACGATTTGGTCCCTCAATTATTATCAAACTATCAATGTAGTTCTCCAATTGCTTAATCATTAATTTAGTCCCCAAAAATAATTATTTTTAGTCGATTTAGTCTATCCGGCCATCAACGGAAGAAGGCCGGAGGATCTAAATTGACTAAAAATAATTGTTTTCGGGAACTAAATTGATGATTAAGCAATTGGGGGATTACATTGACATTGACAATTTGATAATAATTGAGGGACCAAATCGTTGATTAATTCTACTTAAAATTAAGGATCAAACTCTTAATTAAAGATTCAAAGTTAAGAATAGATGAGTTACGTTCGCTAAATAACACCGCTAATTAACTGTACTTACCGTGATTACTATGTGCTGAAACATCTTTTGTTTTTCTTTCACTTTGCCAATTGTTGATCGTGCCATGTAATCGGATTTAGCAATCTATTCTTTTTTTATTTTTGTACACAATAATTTTTATTTTTCTTTATTTACAAATATCAGTAATCTCTCGAAATATACAATTTTGTCATATGTTTCTTGTTATTGGTGCCAACAATAACATAACTGACGGATATATTGGGAATCGACCTGAACCGACTCGAGGGCGCGAAGCAAGAACGGGTCCCGGGGCGGCGCCACGTACCCGTCCCGGCCGGGGCCTCGCCACGTGGCCCCCGCACGGGCAACGTTGGAGGCCGGGCCGGCCTCTCCAGGAGGCCAGGCCGGCCTCTCCAGGAGGCCTGGCCTGCCTCTCCAGGAGGCCGGGCCTGCCTCTCCAGGAGGCCGGGCCGACCTCCACATGGGCTCGGCCTGGGCCCATGATGAGCTCGGCCTGGCCCCCGCAGCGCAGCCCGGTCGCGAGACCGGGCGCGGTCAACTCCAGATCCAACTAACCCCCCGTTTTAGGGGGAGGCGGTTGGGGGCTTGGCTTGTATAAAAGCCCCCCTCCTTGTCCTAACAAGGGACACGCTATCTACGATCTATATTTCCTACATACCTTGTCCTAAAATACTACTGTAATAGCCAATTCTACGACATTTAATACAATCTACGGTCTCACGGCCTTTACTATATCATTCGTATCATTTATTTATTATTCGTATCCTTATTCGGGTTAGTTAAGTCGGACCCCCGGTTTAATTAAATCCATCATTGGTGCTCTTGTTGAGAGCTGCTGTACAAGCTTAAGCGCTCTCCCCACTATTGTTCATCCACAGCGATGGCACGATCCAGATCCAGCTCTCGTCATACCAATGGTTCCCGCGGCACCCAGCTCGTCGCGAACGGGAACGGCCCCAACGGTGCCCCCGCCCCCAGCATCCAACCGGCCGCCTCCACCAGGTCGGGGGAGGATCTGAGGGCCCAACTCACCAACCACCGTAGCAGTGGTGCATCGCCACCACCCCCTGTCGCCCCCGCTCCGGCTCGCGCGCTCATCCAGGAGGGGGTGGCGGTCTTCGAACAAGCTTCCACGGCGCTGGCGCGCGTCGCGGCGGGCCTTCGGGCAGAGGAACAAGCCGACCTAGGCGCCACCCGCGGGGCACCGGCGTCACCTCCACCTCCTCCCACCCGGGGGCGCAGCGGTCCAAGCACCCGGCCACCCCAGACACTTATCACCCAGGGGGAGGTCAACTCACCTCGACCATCGGAGAGGCGGGGAGGAGGGGACTCCCGCCGAGGCCGCCAGCGCGACGGCGATGGAAGGGCACCAACCCAAACCAGGCCCGCCCTGGAGAGGTTGGGCGATCACGTGTCGGCCCGGCACAGGCTGGGTCCGAGGCCAGCCAACGATTCCCGCGGCACCCAGCTCGTCGCGAACAGGAACGGTCCCAACGGGGCCCCCGCCCCCAGCATCCAACCGGCCGCCTCCACCAGGTCGGGGGAGGATCTGAGGGCCCAGCTCACCAACCACCGTAGCAGTGGTGCATCGCCACCACCCCCTGTCGCCCCCGCTCCGGCTCGCGCGCTCATCCAGGAGGGGGTGTCAGTCTTTGAACAAGCCTCCACGGCGCTGGCACGCGTCGCGGCGGGCCTTCGGGCAGAGGAACAAGCCGACCTAGGCCCCACCCGAGGGGCGCCGGCGTCACCTCCACCTCCTCCCACCCGGGGGCGCAGCGGTCCAAGCACCCGGCCACCCCAGGCACCTATCACCCAGGGGGAGGTCAACTCGCCTCGACCATCGGAGAGGCGGGGAGGAGGGGACTCCCGCCGAGGCCGCCAGTGCGACGGCGATGGAAGGGCACCAACCCAAACCAGGCCCGCCCTGGAGAGGTTGGGCGATCACGTGTCGGCTCGGGACAGGCTGGGTGCGAGGCCAGCAAACGGGCCACCGGCGGAGGAATCATGCTCCCGCCGGCCACTGCGACAAGAATCGGCCACTCGGAGGTCGCCGAGCCATGGGCCACGCGCCCAGCCGCGACACGAGGCAGTTTCGCGTGGGCCCGCAGGGCGGGTCCCCAGACCCCACCCGCGACGTGAGCAGGCCTCCCGGGTCGGACGATCGGGTGAAACGAATGGTAGAGCTCCGAGCTCCCATCGGGTAGAGGTCGAGCAGCTGCGGAGGAGGATGGACGAGCTCTAGAAGAAGATCGATGAGAGGGACAGATCTCCAGAGCCCCACGATATGTTTCCTCCCCGTTCGCAAACGCCATCATGGAGGAGCCCTTACCTCGAGATTTTTGCTTTCCCACCATTAAAGCGTACTCGGGGACCACGGACCCGCGGGCACACCTGACCAGGTACAGGACCGCCATGATGATCACCGAGGCAACAGACGCCATCCTATGTAGGGGGTTCTTCGCCACCCTGGACGGACAAGCGCATGATTGGTTCGGATCCCTCCCGGCGGGGTCCATCTCCACCTTTGCGGACCTCACCCGGCAGTTCCTATCCCATTTCGCCACCAGCATACCACGGAAGAAGCAAATTGCCGACCTGTGTGATTTGAAGCAAGGGAGCTCGGAGTCACTGGCCGAGTACCTCAGCAAGTGGAAGAAAGAGGCCATGGGGGTCGCCGACTTTGATGGGAAGTCGGCCATGGTGATTTTCCGAAACAACTTGAGGTCAGGCGCTTTTCACCAGGACCTCATCAGATACCCCCCCAGGACCTATACCGACCTGATGGACAAGGCAGCAAGGTATGCTGACGCCGAGGCTTCCGAGAAGATGAAGAAGGAACAGGAGGAAGGAAGGGGTCGAAAAGACAAGGCGCCCCAGGAGGAACGCAAGGCGCCGCGGCCACACCGACGTGAGTACGCTGAGGGGCCCAGGCTGAACCCCACACGCTATCTCACCCCGCTGACATAACCTGTGGGTGCCATCTTGGCGCACACGGAGGACCAGGGAATCGTGGTATTCCCGAAGAAGGAGTGCATGAAGATATCAGCGAGGGGGGACCCCAACAAGTACTGCAGGTTCCACCGGCAGAAGGGGCACGATACAGACAAATGCATCATCTTAAAGAGACAAATCGAGGAGCTCATCCAAATGGGTTACCTCGGCCAATTCATTAAGAGGCCCGACCAGGCGCAGGGCCAGAAGCAAGGCAATGTATGGAGGAAGGGGGGTGGCCAGGCGCCATCCACCTCGGCTCCCCGTAAGAGGGACCACCACGACAACAGCTCCGAGGAGGAGGAGAAGACAATAGAGGACTCCCAGCCCCCGAGGAAACGTACCATCTACGTCATCTTCGGGGGGCCCGAGGGAGGGGACTCGCCAACTGAGTGGAAGAGGTGGGCGAGAAGCTTGTACGTGGGGGAGGTCACACGAACACCCCGCGAGAAGAAACCAAAGAGGGAGCCCATCACGTTCACCGACGCCGACCTACCTGACGGGCCCCTCCCCCACCGGGACACCTTGGTGGTCAAGCTGGACATCAACAACGTGGTGGTGCACCGGGTGCTCGTGGACACGAGTAGCTCGGTCAACGTCATGTACCACGACACATACATCCTGCTGGGACTCTCAAGAGGGCAGCTGGAGCAGGTACGAACCCCCCTATCCGGGTTCACGGGGGACTCAATCGAGACAGAGGGGTCGATCACTTTGAAGGCGGAGATAGGCACCCCACCTCTCACCAGGAGGTGGGAGGTCGAGTTCGTAGTCGTCAAAATCAACTGCGCCCACAACATCATTCTCGGCCGACACGCCCTAGAGGACCTCAGGTGCGTGATTTCCATGGAGCACCTGTGCCTTAAATTCCCGACACCGACCGGGGTCGGGGTCGCCCGAGGGGACCAAAAGGTGAGCCGCAATTGCTACTTGAAGGCGTGCCGTCAAATTGATCAAAAGGACCGCCAGGTCCACACCAGGACGGCCACGTAAGAGGAGGATCTTGGCATTGCTATTCTAGGAGGAGGACCATTCCCCTCCCCCAATAATGTCTTAGTGAACAACAATAAGCGGAATAAAGTTTCATGTCACGAAACACGTTATGAGTAGGACCCTTGTTACGAAGTTGGTTCTCCAAAAAAATAAAAATAAAAATAAAAATAAAAAAATAAAAATCATGAAACAAAAGGGGAACGAGTGCTCACTCATGACTTCCCCTCGCGGACCCTAAGGGGGCACGAGGTCCGACCTCGCGTACCAACCCCGACGGAGGACGCACCCTAAGGGGGCACGAGGGCCGACCTCGCGTACCAACCCCGATGGAAGAGCCCGGTGGCACAGTCCGAAAGGACTTGGCCCGAGCGGCTAACGCGCACCCTAAGGGGGCACGAGGTCTAACCTCGCGTACCAACCCCGACGGAGGAGCCGGTGGCTTGGTCCGACAGGACTTGGCCCGAGCGGCTAGGCGCACCCTAAGGGGGCACGAGGTCCAACCTCGCGTACCAACCCCGACGGAAGAGCCCGGTGGCGTAGTCCGGAAGGACTTAGCTCGAGCGGCTGAAGTACCCTAAGGGGGCACAAGGCCGGACCTCGCGTACCAACCCCGACGGAAGAGCCCGGTGGCATAGTCCGGAAGGGCTTAGCTCGAGCGGCTGAAGTACCCTAAGGGGGCACGAGGCCGGACCTCGCGTACCAACCCCGACGAAGGAGCCCGAGTGCCTAGGCTTGAACGAGCCAGGACGGAGCGGCTATCGCACCCTAAGGGGGCACGAGGCCGGACCTCGCGTACCAACCCCGACGGAGGAGCCCGAGTGCTTAGGCTCGAAAAAAAAAATCAGGGGCAGTTTGGAGGACCTCGGCCCTAGGCCGAGGTCGAGGTCGGCCCGACCTCGGCGTGGCAGGTCGGCACGCGAGGTCGGCCGACCCCGAGGTTGGCACGACCTCGGCGCCGAAGGATGGCACGACCTCGGCAGAGGGGGACGACCGTCGCCGAGGCCGACCCCGGCGTGGCTTGAGCCCGGGAGGTCGGCTGAGGGGCCACGGAGGCGCGGCCTGCAGGCCACCCCCGTGGTGGCGACGCCACCGCGCCGGCTCCGTGACGGAGTGACATGGCAGAGACGCGGCGGTGCGTATGTGTCCTAGCAGATGAAGGAGTCATGTTCCGGATGGAGTTTTCATCATTATCACAAGAAGTGCACTTTGACGTCACCTATAAGGCTGGGACGCGGACATCTCGGGGTCGGCATTTTGGGGGGTCGGCCGGAGCATCTACTCTCCTTCACTAACGATTCCTCGCAGCTCGGAGAGTGGGGGACTGATGACGGATATATTGGGAATTGACCCGAACCGACCCGAGGGCGCGAAGCAAGAACGGGTCCCGGGGCGGCGCCACGTACCCGCCCCGGCCGGGGCCTCGCCACGTGGCCCCCGCACGGGCCACGTTGGAGGCCGGGCCTGCCTCTCCAGGAGGCCGGGCCTGCCTCTCCAGGAGGCCGGGCCTGCCTCTCCAGGAGGCCGGGCCGACCTCCACATGGGCCCGGCCTGGGCCCATGATGAGCTCGGCCTGGCCCCCGCAGCGCAGCCCGGTCGCGAGACCGGGCGCGGTCAACTCCAGATCCAACTAACCCCCCGTTTTAGGGGGAGGCGGTTAGGGGCTTGGCTTGTATAAAAGCCCCCCTCCTTGTCCTAACAAGGGACACGCTATCTACGATCTACATTTCCTACATACCTTGTCCTAAAATACTACTGTAATAGCCAATTCTACGGCATTTAATACAATCTACGGTCTCACGGCCTTTACTATATCATTCGTATCATTTATTTATTATTCGTATCCTTATTCGGGTTAGTTAAGTCGGACCCCCGGTTTAATTAAATCCATCAATAACCTCCTCGAAACAAATGGTTAAATGTGTAGAATATAATTTTTGTATTATAAAATTATAAATTTAATTATTACAAACACATTTTTAATCGAATTCATTACATATGATATTCTTATTGAATGAATGATACATTGACAAATTGATTTGATCAAACAATATTTTTGAATTCAAACTTTATAAATTAAATGAAATAAACAACCCCAAACAAATTTGAAAATTTGAATATGATCAAAGTGGGTGTAAATCCCTTATACAGTTATAAGCACCGGCATTTGGTAATGTTTGCTGAGTCATTGAGTTATAGTGATTTACATTCTCCCGAATGTTCGATTGGATCGAGATGTGGAAATCCTTGAAGTTGGAAATTCAACATTTTCGAAAAGAAATTGAAAACTTTACAATTTTATGAATTGTACTCAATTTTTTTTTAACCAACGAAAATTCATTAAATCAAACCAAAACCAAATACGAAATACAAAGCGGTGGAACAACGTCCCAAACACCAAAGACATACGAGAAACCAATAAATTGGTTACCAGTAATAATATATTTCTATTACATTGTAATATCTGTTCAAACATATTTTCTCAACTTAATGAAGCACAAAGAGTCAACAATGCCTACTTTCTCAACCTAATGAAGCACAAAGAATCAACAATGGAAGAGATCACTACATGTCATATGAGCACAAGGTGCTTGGCACCAATAATAATATGTTTATTACATTTTTATTTTTATTTTTATCTTCACTCTTTAGTTATGTGAAGTGTATTGGTTGCTAAAAAGGAATAAATTTCATTTTTAATTCTCAATTATTGAAATATTATCACACTTAATCATTTAGTGTTTTTTTTTTGTCTCATTATAATTTTAAATTTTATTTATTTGTTACAATTAATCCCTCGTCTAAAAATGAGTAAATCGTGTGTGAGATTACTCAAGTAAGACATATAATACTCGTTTAAAAAATATTTGATGCACCGTTATTGTATAGATATTATACAACTACGGTGGATAAGAAGATGTCACATCATTAACAAAAAAATGTCAATATTGAATAGATCATTTTTTGCAAAATTAAATTGTTCATCCGGAAAAAAGAAGAAGAGAAATTGGAACTATTAGATTGAGTAGAGAAAAAGAAAGAATCATATTGACAAAATCTCTTGGTTGTATTGGACAGTTTATTATGCGGAACATGATCCACACAAAGCTATGTGAATTATAACGAAATGTACATTTTTAGTATACTAGAAGTACATTATTCGTCTTTAAAAAAAAAGTATATTATTTGTGTACTGAATGTATATAATCCAAAATAATATTTTCAATACTCAAATAATGTATTTTCCTGGAGCACAATGTAAATTTTTAATATATTAAAAGTACATTATATGTGTACTAAATATATATATTATTTAATAGTATGACCTACACAATAATGATGCATATATTGGTACAACATGCCGAAAACTTCTAAAATAGGAAAATGCTATGTGTACTCCTATTATTTACTCTCAATTTGTACTCAGACACACAAAATCGACACTTGTATTGGAATCACATGAAAAAAAAAAAAAAGAGCAAATACCAATTTTGGTCCCACGAGTATTAGCAAAATGATAATTTTGGTCTACTTGTTTAATTCCTACCAATTTTTAACCACGACTATTGTTTTAGTACCAATTTTCATCCACGACTATTGTTTTAGTGTAAAAATTCATCACGTCGGTCACCTTTTGTTTAATATATGCTGAAATATGAAATTATTAAGGGTATTTTCATCATTTTCAAATTAAGGTCCCAATTTGAGTATGAATAAAGAGATTTAAGCCCTAAGATCTATCCCAATTCGTAGTTCTCCTCCTCAAATTAAAGTAAGATGAGGAGGAGAACTGCGAATTGGAATCGATCTTAGAGCTTAAATCCATTTATTTATGCTCAAATTGGAATCTTAAGTTGAAAAGGACGAAAATGTCCTTAAAATTTTCTGAATTCGACATGTTTTAAATGGATGGGTGACCAGCATGATGAATTTTGGTACTAAAATAATAGTTGTGGATGAAAATTGATAGGAATTAAATATGTGGACCAAAATCGTCATTTTACTAATACTAGTGGGACCAAAATTTGTATTTGCTCAAAAAAAATAATACTCCTTTCGTGCTATTTTATGTATCTAGTTCGGTTAAAGAGACTTGACTAAAATTATTTTTAATTTAGTTTTTATAATATTAATTTTAATATTAATATATAAAATTTATATATTTAGAAATATACTAAAAATACTATTAAATATAAAAAAATTAAAAAAAAAAAAGAAGAGTTAATTTGACCCATGAAGTAGGACAGATGGAGTAGCTGTACGAGAACTCCCTAAAATATCCTATAGACCCAAATAACGTTGGTGGCCCTCATCTGACTCAACACTTACTCATATTATCTGTTCCTTTCCGATGACATGCACGATGGAGATGGCTCTGTGAAGATATTCTGAGGCAAGATTAATGATAGCCACGAACTATTTGTTCCTTTCTTGAGAATTTATTTCAAAGTCGAAATCTTTTGTTTTTTTATTGTTTTTTGTTTCTGTGATTCTATAGGATCTTGATGTGATTTCAATATATTCCTCTGGAAATCTGGTTTTGGGAAAACCTATTTTACATTTTTTTTAATATTTATTATTAGGATAACTGGATAAGAACATGAGTAGGATCTGAGCAAGTTTTTGGATGGGTAGGGAACGCTACTTGTCTTCTTTCAATCGTGGGTTTGATGGGTCTCTGGCAAATTATTGATAGACTGTGATGGCGACTGTTTCTCTATCTGAGATCTTTCTTATTTTAGCTTGATAATTACTTTAAATTAGACAATTTCTCTAGTTTCAACTCATAATTTTAGAATTTCTTGTACATACCACCTTTTTCACATTTCATCCCTTCTTGAAATCCTCTGTTACCCTCAGTCGATCGATTGAATCTGATTATTGTTGTTTGTTGCAATCTATTATTAAAGCAAGTGGTTTGGTTCCTTGAACCTCTCTCATTGTACTGATGTTCTTGTTAAATACTGGTACAGCACTGATTTCTGCGGGGTGTGAAGGTGAAACAATGGAGATAAAACCGAAAAAATTCCTCACAGTGGCTCCTTTCGAGTGTGCCTGGCGGGATGATCTTCGATTCAGGGAGGCTGGGAGAGGGTGTGTAGCTTTTGATGCTTTTGCTCACAACGATGTCACGGTTGTGTTCCGAGAGCACGTGGGTAGTCAACACTATCACTACAAGAGGGACGATAGTCCTCATTATACTGTGATTATTGGTAGCCATAGGAATAGGAGATTGAAAATCGAGGTAGATGGGAGAACGGTGGTCGATGTGGCTAGTGTTGATCTTTGCTGTTCTTCGACGTTTCAGAGCTATTGGATCGGTATCTATGATGGGTTGATTAGTATTGGGAAAGGAAGGTACCCGTTTCAGAATCTTTGCTTGCAGTGGCATGATTCGAAACCGAATTGCAGTGTCCAGTATGTTGGTCTTAGTAGTTGGGACAAGCATGTTGGCTACAGGAACGTTAATGTTCTACCTATTACGCAAAACCATATATCTTTGTGGAAACAGGTAGATTATGTTGGGTGTGATAGCGAGGATGCTAATACTGAGCTGGAGGATAGAGCTGGGGATTTCGAAGATTGGGGTCTCGAAAATTTTCTAGAGAGTTGGGAACTATCTGATGTGTTTTTCATCGTTGGAAACGAGCAAAGGGCTGTCCCAGCTCATAAGGTAATATTGGCAGCAGCCGGGGATTTTGGCTTGTCTTCCTCTGGTGAAGTTATTAACCTGCGGGATGTTAGCTATCCAGTTCTGCATGCATTTCTCGAGTATATCTACACTGGACATACTCAGGTTAGTTTAATGTCTCGAACGATTGATTCATTTGTTGCTTATTTAGTGCTAATTGATTCCCGCTAGCATATTCTGGCCTTTGTGAATGCTATGCTTAACTCTTAGTTTCTAAGCCTTCCGGTATATTATTTTGTAGATACCAGAGCCTGAAATCAGTTTGCTGAAAGCTCTGAGCTTGAAGTTTGAAGTTGCACCATTGGTAAAGCAATGTGAAGAAATCATTGCACACATTAGCCTTCACAAAAGAGACTTAGATTCGGGTAAGAATGTTGAAATATCATATGCAAGCTGGGTCCACAGCAGCAACGTCTTCCCTTATGGGCTACCTATCAATAAATGGAGGCTTGAAGAAATTTTCTTGACTGGCAAGTACAGTGATCTAGTCATTTATGTTGGGGACCTTATTGTGCCATCACATAAGGTTATACTTGGTTTGTGGAGTGTTCCTTTTACAAAGGTATTCCAGTTTTCCATGTTTTTTTTTTTGGTCAGACCACAAGGTGTCCTGAGCAGGCCCTAACTGTATGAGGCAGCTCTAAGCCCGTACCATACTCAAACTAATCTCCATTCGCACCGGCCTGGCCCAATTAAGGGGCTAAGTGCTGGCCAGATTGATTTTTCCATACGAGAGGAGGCATCTTCTTTTATGGTATTATCCTTTTGACTGTTTAATAAAAAAAGAGAATATTGCTAATTGCAGATGTTCACTAATGGAATGAAGGAAAGTTTTGCTTCAACTGTCGTCTTAAGAGATGTCCATTTCGAACCATTTCAAACTATGCTTGAATTCATTTACACTGGGAAACTAAAGAAAGAAGTCACCGGGGACATTAATACACTGTTACTCCAGCTGCTTCTACTGGCAGATAAGTTCGGGATCTCTCTTCTTCACCAGGAATGCTGCAAAACAATTCTCGAGCACCTCTCAGAGGTAATCTCCCGAATTTTTTCCAACTTGTATCTTTCCTGCTCATTGTTTAATATGGTACTTAGTGCCAAATGTGGAACTAGAACAAAAGAATGGCGAAGTGGTGCGGTTCGGACTTGTGAACGTGAACACAGCCCTTTATGAGGATGAATTATAAGATGTTATTAATTAATGCCTTTCATCTATATATTACCTGCAGGGATGGCGTCCTCCTATTGGAAGGTCATACAACAAGTTTTCTGATATGCCAAGTTTAGTGCGCGATGAAGCAGATACTTTTCGGCAAGATATTTGTTAGTCCGCTATGAGGCTAACTGTTGGACTTTGTTGCAGGACACACTGTGCCCAATTCTTCAAGTGATAGCGTCCGTTCCCTCGTGTAAACTCATCGAAGAAACATGCGAGAGGGAATTCTCTATGCACTTTGATTATTGTACAACAACAAGCACTGACTTTGTCATGCTGGACGAAGCAACATTTAGTGTTATCCTCCAGGTGAACTTGCATTTCACATTGTTTGTTTCTTTTTTTTAATTAAACATTTTTCTTTTTGAGTACTACTGACTCTGTTACAATGTAGTGACATCTCTTATGTGGGAGGTCATGAGATCGAGCCTCAGTGGAGGCGTTGTTGACTCTTTGTGCTTCATTAGGTTGAGAAAGTATGTTTGAACAGATACTACAATGTAATAGAGTCAGTAGCATTCAAAAAATAAAAAAATAAAAAAATCTGTAGTACTAGTAGCCACTGTCATGCCCGCTCGACCACAAGGTCTTTGGCGCATTTCACATTGTTCATAGCTAGGGAATACATACACTAAATTTATTTTATGAATGAAAAAGAAAAATAAAGACATATGCTATTAAGACATTTAGATGTTCCAACTTTTGAAATTTGAATTTTATGGCATATAAAACATGTTCTTGATTAGGAGGCAATATAATAAGTTTATATATCTGAAATGGATATAACTATAAAAAAACTGGGATACATTTATGGGTGTCTTCATTATCTGGTATTTAGTGGTATCTGGTTTACAAGTTTAAAATAATGATATTGTAGCAAACTCCATCTTATGATGAAATCCTTTTTATTTTATTTTTTTCAGCACCCAGAGCTGACTGTGACGTCTGAGGAAAAAGTTCTGAACGCAATTTTACTCTGGTGCTTGCAAGCAGAAGAATATTTTGGATGGGAAAGAATAGATGAAATGATGATGAATTCAACTCCGGAACTACTTTTTGGGGAGAGGCTTACATCTCTTAATATGTTTTTGCATTTTGTGCGTTTTCCATTGCTTCCATCTGCTTTGTTGGAAAAGGTATGCATTCTATAATGTGAGTTTTTTGTGGATTCGTTTTCTCCCCTAAATCTTGTTGATATTTAAACAATATTGCAGTTGGAGCGAAGTCAACTTAGCCAGACAATTCCTACTTTTGATCAACTGGTGAGTTAACAATAGTGAAAGAAATCAGTCACAAGTTGGTCCTATAAAAATATTGAAGTATTCCGAGTTTTTTTTTTATTTTTGGTTTAACTAATGTGATCGATAGGTGAAAGAAGCCATCAATTTTCTAGAGTTTGGGAGCACGTGTCTTGATAAAAGCCAAAGGTGAGTTCCGTTGTGAAAAACTATTCCATATCCAGGGACGGGACATTAGAAAGGATGATTACTTGGAGTTATGGTTGCAGTAGGCGCTAGTCAGGCAGTAGAGTAGCGCCTAGACGGCCTAGGCGGGCGCCTATGCGGCTAACTAAAAAAAGAAGAAGAAAGCATTGCACGTGTGTGGGTATATATATATATATATATATATATATATATATATATATATATATATATATATATATATATATATATATATATATATATATATATATATATATATATATATATATATATAATGAAACAAATTAGCAAGGCCGAACTGACCGGGTTAACTTGATCGAAATGGACGATTTAACTCGGCCGAATTCGGTCGAGTTAGGCGCTAGGCGGGCGCCTAGGGAGGAAATTGCCACGGTCTAGGGGCGCCTAGACCGATTTTTGCAACAGTGCTTGGGGTGAGTAATAAAATAATTTATATTGCAGTGTGAAGTTTCAGCATAGAAGATCTAGTTTTAAGGAGCTCCAATACATATGCGATGGGGACAGCAATGGAGTTCTTTATTTTGCGGGCACATCTTATGGTGCACACCAGTGGGTAAACCCCGTTCTGTCTAAGGTATATTGTTGAACTTCTCCCTATCTTCCTAATTTTATTTTTGTGATGTCGTAGTATTTTCTTTTCCTAACATCTGAAATTCCATGCTCAGAGAGTAGCCGTTACAGCAAGCAGTCCCTTTTCAAGATTTACTGATCCTAAGGTCCTCGTCTCGAGGAACTTTCAGGTATGAAATAAAAGATGTACGTTTCAAAATTAATGTAAATGAATTGATGTGTATCCTCGTTCACAATGTATGCTTTTAGGTGATTCGGAACAAATTATTCAATTATAACTCTTCTATGAAAGATAGAATAATTTAAAAAAAAAAAAATTGTGTTCTAGGGTACATCTTTTGCCGGACCTCAAGTTGAAGATGGAAACATCAGTTCATGGTGGATGATTGATCTCGGTTATGATCACCAGGTCTGGATACTATTTATCTTATTTTGTGTACCAGATGCTTACTTTTTGTTACAATTGGAATAGAGTTTTTTTTCCACTTTTTGTCCCACGACTATTGGACCATTTTCACATTTGGACTCATGACTTTTAAAACCTTGCCACATTTGGTCCTCAGACCTAATTTCCGGTCACCAGTGACCAAATTTGTATCTCAATTTTTTTTTTTTTCTGGTGTAAAAAACCATGAGGTGTTCTGGTTCTATCTCCATCTATCTTACGGTCTGGGTCCACTCAATTAATCCCCGTTCACTCCAAGAGGCATGGGAGCTGGCCCAAGGGGAATTATCACTTATGGGAATCGAACCCGGGTTATCCAGGGGATCGTCCCCAAGAAGAAGCTCATTTGCCACTTGAGCTCCCCTTTTGGGTTAATTTGTATCTCTATGTTATTGAACATGAGTGCATAATAGTCAAGTGACTTATCTTGAAGGACAAAGTTGTCATTTCTTATGACATTTTTCAACTAAAAAATTTGGTCATTGGTTTAGGCTGGGGGACCAAATATGGAAAAATTAATAGTTAGGGACCAAATGTGGAAATGATGATCTAATAGTGTGACCAAAAGTGGAAAAAACTCGACCGGAATATGTTCCAAGCATTTTTAATGTCTTCTCTCATCCCGAGGATGATTTGAATCTTGATGTGGATGATTTCAATCTGTTGATGCAGCTCATGTGCAACTATTACACAATACGGCAGGATGGATCGAGGGCCTTCATGAGAAGCTGGAATTTTCAGGTAAGCGAGCTAACAAATCTCGGTTTCACACATAATGAAATAACACATAAAATAAAATTATTGAGAAATTTGTGTCTCGGGTGGATTTCAGGGATCTACAGATGGCGTGAATTGGACGAACTTGAGAGTGCACAAGGATGACCAGACAATTTGCAAGCCAGGACAGTTCGCGTCATGGCCTATTACTGGCCCGAACCCTCTGCTCCCTTTCAGATTTTTCCGAATCGTGATGACGGGTCCTGGCACAGACGAGATGAACCCGTGGAACTGCTGCATCTGCGTCTTGGAACTCTATGGATATTTCCGCTAATGCTCCAAAGCTGGTTAGTCATTTCGTAGCTCCTCATTTGCAGGATTATTGGGCTGGCAAACAATAAGACGTGTGTTTGGAACATTAACAACATCTGGTTTGCATTGTATCTGTTCTTGCTAGTTTGTGGTGTTGTGTCTTCTGGCCAACTTTGTGTCAATGCTAGAAGAAAAATACACCAACAAATTTCGTGCCTTCCCAAGTAATAATTTTTCTTTTGAATGAACTTTGCATTGTGGATTGATTGTAACATGTTTGGGCTCTAGATTTTGCGCATCTTCATATTATTCTATGTTGTTTATTAGTGCTAGGATAACGGTAATTGATAAATATCGTGTTAAATTATACAAAGGTCCTGTTTGATAAAAATAGTTAGTCTATCAGCTATTTTTTGACTTATTTGACCACTATTAGTTAATTAGCTTTTTGTAACAGGTTATTGTTTCAAAAGGTTAAAATTCAAAAAGTTGTTCAAAGCAGTTTTTTTTTTATTAGTTTTTTGAGAAAGTCATTTTGCATATAATCAGTTATCAACTAACAATTAATTTACCAAATATCTTTCTACAATCAGTGAATACTATCTACCAATCAAATCCACTAACACAATCAACTAAACACCTCCAAAATCATTTATTCAGAATGTAGGTTTTAGGTTGTCTACTTTGACAAAAATGACATGTACATATGGGATACCTGTCATATTTCAATACTTACAAAAACATGTTTTATTCCAATAATTACAATAGCATGTTTTATTAGCATACATGTCAGCCTCATCAGTCATCACCATCATTATCTGCATCATCAGTTTCTACAGGTCACATTTGTCACATTCTCTGTTTGCACTTCCTCCAGATGTTGTGATTCAGGCTGAGGTAAACACAAACTAATCACTTCTGTCATATTCAACATATATATCACACTTAAAAAAAATGGGATGAAGCTAATTGGGCTAAGTATAAATAATCCTTAAAGTCTCTAATTAAGGGTTCATGTGGGAGTTTTTATAAGATAAGTATTTAATTGTTGGCTTGTTGCATATCTTTGATATGTAATGTACTTCAAAAGATATGAATAACAAATTAAATTTGGGTCTACTTCTATTGTTTCTACTAGTAATTCACCCGCGCGATGTACGGAAAAAAATTATGTTATTATTAATATTATTTAATATAATAATATTTTTGAGCTTCCATTGGTCAAGTATTTATTATTTTTATAGAATACAAAATACAAAATTACAATTAAAATTATAATTTTATATGGTTAATATAATCTCTAATTATGTGCATATTCAAATTTCAAATAAACTTATAGAGAGAATTTACATAATTACATTGATTTATTCTTAATTGTATTTCATCTATATTATAATTTTCACAATACGAATAATAACTAAGATAATTACATTTGGAAAGCAAATTTCAAATTTTGTATGTGTAAATTTAAACTCTAATTGAACACATTTTTTATATAATTATATAATATATAGCTATTTTATTTTTTTAAATGTTGTGTTTATATATATATATATATATATATATAATAAAGGATGTTGTAGCATTAATTGTAACATTAATTATTTCCCAAACCATATAGCTTTATTATATAAAGGATTTCACCATTTATATAATGGAGCCTAGGATTTTGGATAAAGATTTCACCATTGTGAATAATTAATTTCAGACGTTGAAAAAGTAAAGCAAGTGAATAATTAAAGTAATGTTGGACAAACACAACCCTACACAACATCCTACACAACATATAGTAAAACATTTGAATAATTAAAACAAGACAAACAACCAGCATGACCACAACTTGCTCAATTCATACACATCATAGACAAAAATTTCCACTTGCACATGATCATATACATTACATACAAAAAATCATCACTTGCACATTTTATCAAACACTTTACTGACCAACTATCATCATTCTTAATTCTTATACACTTTATCAAAATACTATGGTGAATATGTGAAAATAATTGCGAGCGTGTTAAAATATTTCTAAAGCATTTCATGTGATAAATATTTAGAACGAATACTACCGACACCAAAATATATTCAGAATATACACTTAAAATATAAGTTTCAAGCATATCTTTGTCTCGTCAATGACAAACTCTAATCAACAAGAGACACTTCTTCAATGGTGAGCACTCGTCAATTACAACGAACAAACTCAATGGTGGGCATACATTACTTGTTTTCTAGAATTGAGTATTTTAGTTTGATTTTTGTATTTGGGGATGTGAGCATATTTTAGTTCATAGTACCGGATGAACAATCATGATTAGTACATGAACTTATTTGATCATTTTGCTTAAATTTTTTAATTAAACTAGTATTTTTTTTATGCGCGATGGGCAAAATAGATGCCCAATAATAATAATAGTAATAATAATAATAATAATGTAAATCATTTTTATAAATTTGATATTTATATTTTAAAAAATAACTTATATAGTACTCTAATATATAATGCCAATATTATTAGTATTGAAGAAGATAAGAAAATATATGGTAGATGTATATGTATGACCACAATAGTTGTAAACGATGACGGAAATTATAACGATAGGAATATTTTTGACTAAAATAATGTACAGTATGACGCTTATAGCATAATGTATAAAAAAAGTAATGAAAACAATTAACATAAGGGTATAACATTTATTCATATTTGTATTAAGGAGTAATTTTAGATGATTATACAAAATCATTTATTCAGAGTAAAACCGTAAAATGGGCTTTTTAAGACGTTACGCATGCAGAATTGCAGACGTATGCATAACCCGGATGCGCCGGGTCAAGACCGGGTCGAACTCCGATTGGATTTCTCTAACCTAGTCTTCTGTTAATCAGAGTTTTGATCTTTTCACGGTTTCAATCGTATGATCGCAAAAAAATGGAGAAGAAGACCAAGTTCAGTATAATTGTTCCAACCTACAATGAACGCCTCAACATCGCCCTCATCGTTTACCTTGTTTTCAAACATCTCCAGTAATCTCTTCTACCCCCTCTTTTTCATTTCTTTGTTTACTGTAGTTTTCTTCAGCTATGCAATTCGGTTTGTCGTTTTTTATAATTTATAAGCTGATTATGGATTATTGACTTGAAAAGCTGCTGGAGATCTTGCTCTTTATTAAGTTCAAAGTATTGCAGTTTTGTCTTGCTTTGCTTCTAGTCTAGTATAACAATTTCAACTTCTTTTTTTTTTTTTTTTTTTTTTTTTTTTCTTGTGAAAAATTGTGGCATTTCATCTCATAGTGTTGCTATAGCTCTTTGATCATAGTTGAACTGTGTGCATATTTAATCTTGACATAATCAAAGTTTGTCAAACTAGACTAATTTGTGTTGTGGATATTCTAGTTTAATTAGATGCTATATCACACTTTTCTCAGTCATCCTATAATATCTTGTGCAATTTTTGATAGTCATTTTCTATTCTGCATTATACTTTTTAGTGGTTAAATATATATATAAGGTCCAAACTTAGTTTACAGTATTATACGAGTAATTTGTTTTTCCTGGGTAGGGATGTTGATTTTGAAGTTATAGTTGTGGATGATGGAAGTCCTGATGGGACTCAAGATATTGTCAAACAATTGCAGCGGGTGTACGGAGAAGATCGCATTGTCAGTAATTTTGAGTTAATTCTTTGTGAGTTGTTTCTTACATATTGGTAGAAATTGTTGACTCATTTTTTTTTTCATCCAATGGTTGCAGCTTTTGAGGCCTCGACCTGCAAAACTTGGTTTAGGTATTTACTTGTACTTTTCCTGCTGAACTGATTATCATTAATCAGTCACTAAGTGCACCTTCTTTCAGGTACTGCATATATTCATGGTTTGAAGTATGTTTCTGGAGATTTTGTTGTCATTATGGATGCAGATCTATCCCACCATGTAAGAATTCTCTGGAACATTAAACATATTGACAGTTTTTCTTTTTAAAGTTATCTCTGCTTAATGCATGAGATAATCTCTAAGTTTTCAATGTGATGCTTTCATCACTATTTCAAAGTGCTGTCCACTAAACATGAAAATTCATTTCTTCTAATTACGCACTTAAAAGTTAACTAGCATTTTTTTGGTCACATAGGTTCCTAACAGCTTCATGCATTCTTTTTACATTTATATTTTGTGTTTTGTATATCTGCTCTTGATTTGTCAAATGTATGTTGAACAACTAAAAATATTGGTCTATACTTTCGCTTTGTAAATCCAAATTGTTCATTTAGTTTTTTGGTTTACATCTTCGTTGCAGCCAAAATACCTGCCAAGATTTATAAAGTAAGTGTATGTTTCTGGCTCAACTTTGTAATCCTTTTTCTCTTCCTTTTTTAGCACCATAATTGAGAGATATCTTTGAATTCAGGAAACAAATGGAGACAGGTGCAGATATTGTCACTGGGACTCGCTATGTTAAGGGTGGTGGTGTCCATGGATGGAATCTCATGCGCAAATTGACAAGTAGAGGAGCAAACGTCCTTGCACAGACACTTCTTTGGCCGGGTGTATCAGACTTAACTGGATCATTTCGGTATAGTTTTTGATAAGTGAATCATTCCGCTATCTTGTTAACTACAGACTCGGCTCATGTCTGTCATGAAAAATGAAAACCATGTTTCCCCTTGACCTACTCCAGGAAAATATGAAAATTAGAAATGTAAATATCAGCAAATTGAATTAATCTTTTCTCCCTGTAAACACGTGAGGTCTTCCAAATTATTGTCTTTGATTTTTTTTTTTCTTTTTAATTTTGTATATGCTAAATTTGTAAAGAGGCATTTCTTCTTTAAATTGTGTTGCTATTGTTTTAGCATATACTGAGGTCAATAATACCAAACCTAACTTTTTCTTTCTGTGTTAGAGTTTCTAATATATATAAATCTTGGTGTTTGGCTTTGCCCATTTTGGCCATCACTTTTTGAAACGAAACTAACAATAGCTCTGCTTATGTTGAAGGCTTTACCGGAAATCAGTGCTTGAAGACATTATAAGTTCATGTGTGAGTAAAGGCTATGTTTTTCAAATGGAGATGATAGTCCGTGCTTCCAGGAAACGTTATCACATTGAAGAGGTAGCATAATATAATAGCATGAAGTTGGATATAATTCCTGTCCTTGCATGTTTAAAAAAAAAAAAACTTTTTAGCCATGAAGCTAAATTCTCCCTTTCACCATTTACAGGTTCCTATTACTTTTGTTGATCGAGTATTTGGCAGTTCCAAGCTGGGAGGATCAGAAATAGTTGAGTATCTTAAGGGCCTTGTTTATCTTTTGTTTACAACTTGATACCACACAAGTCAGATAGAATTTTCAGTCTGACCACATCTGATATAACTTTGAGAGTTGACAGTTTCAACTAGTTTGAAATGTCTCATAGGAAAATTGTTGTTGGGATTTTCAACTGATATTTGAGTAATTTTGTATTAGTCACATTTTGCCATGAGCTTTATTGTGCTTGTTTCAGCAGAATCACATTGCTAACTTATAATGCTGCCTGCTTTCTTGCAGCAGGAACTCAGTAAGTAAACATATTGAAAAAAAAAAGGTTTTTTTTTTTTTTTTAGAATCTTATTATGTTAAAATCTTGAAGACATGAAATGGTATGTTAAAAACCAAAGTATTGTGCATGTCTATAGGGTTGTGACTGTTTATGAACATGTACAAGAGTTATGTGTTAGCGGTGTAAGTGCATATATATATATATATATATATATATATATATATATATTATAGTAACATAGAATTATAGAAACATATTATAACTGTTTAGTATTATATAATCCATACTGTCTCATTGTTTGATTCTTCATCTTTGATTCTGTTTAACTGGCTGATGGATGTTATGAGTTACTACATGGTACTCCTAAATTTTATTACTCACTTTACTCCTTGACATGTTAAACAAGGATGAGATATTTTCTATCATGTGGGTCTCAAGAAAAATGTTTTACATCAAGGATTCGTGAGATGAAGTTATAAGTTGGGGAGTAAAAAGTGAGAGTCTATATAATATTTTTCGGATGTTATTCTCCACCGGCTAGGCCTTTTGATCTTTCAAATTCAACATTGTATATAGCTCCAATGCCTAAAAACTGAAATTGTATTGAAGCTATGAGACTTATAGCCTCTTCAAAGCTTGTCATCCTAAATCCATATGATCATCATATAGCCCAATTTACAACAAATAGCAAGCAGCAATAGACTCCAGAAATCACAAAATTAAAAGGCAGAAAAGAACAAAAGGGGGACATCTTTAAAATCAAATTTTCCTGGACCTTCTAACTGCAGTCTTCTTCTTCTCTACACCCCCAACAGATTTCTCAACACTCATAGCCAGATAAGCAGGCTTCTTGTTCTCCTTGCTTGTTGTCATGCTTCTCAGCATATACCTCGGCTTCTCTCCTCCTCTCTGCGCCGTCATGGGAGTCGCCGGAACTGTCTTCCGGCCACTCTGCACCACCACATTTGGCACCCCCCTTTTCTTAACAGACTCAACTCTCACACCAAGACCATAAACCGCCGCCTTCTCTTCGCCGCACTTCTTTCTCTTCAGCCTCTCATTCCTCCTGGCGGAGTACTCTTCATAGAGCCTCCCCCTCTCAAACAAAGGGCTTCTCGGTTTCAATGAGTATTCCTCATTCCCGGGATTGCCCCCATCGCCATTGCCAATTTCTTGCTGCACCATCTTTGCCAGCGCCCGGAGCTCACAGGAAATGGTATGGTATTCCGGACGCATCTCCCATTCTTCAAGGTCACTCCGACGATTAGGCAACTGGGATTTTGTCAATGAACCTAACAAAAAATGGGTCATACAAAAAGAAATGAAAAAAAGACGAAATTTCTCACCCATGAGCGGCCGACAAGATTTGTAGAGATGGTAAATCACGACGATTCAGAAATCATTAGGTAGGAAGACTAGTGTCTAATGTCTATAAAGAGTTCGATTATCAGATTGGGTGTAACTTTTACACTACGACTACTAGGGCAGTAGGGCTAGATCCTACGTTCTTGCTCACAATCGCCCCAGAAAGAATCAACCGACCTACCAGTGCAACTAATTTTTTAATTTTCTCGTCCCAGAAAGAATCAACCGACCTACCAATGCAACCAATTTTCTAATTTTCTTCGCCCCAGAAAGAATCAACCGACCTACCCGTGCAACCAATTTTCTAATTTTCTTGCCCCAGAAAGAATCAACCCACCTACCAGTGCAACCAATTTTTTAATTTTCTTGAAATACCTGGAGGAGTTTGAAGGGTGTTTGTGGTAGACCGGAGGGCACGGCGCGAGCGAAGACGAATCGGAGATCTCGGAAGCGGCGGCTTGCTGGATCTCAACATCATCTTGGACATGGAGGAACTCAATCAACTTGCAACAGAAAAATCTGAAATCTGAAAAAAACAAAAAGATGAGAAAAGATTAGATAGATAGAACATGAATGGGGGGATTTGGGATGGAGAAGAAGGAGCAGCTCGCCTGAAGCTCTCTGAAAGTTGCGATAGATGTTTGAATAGTTTAATGGAGAAATTGTATATATACGAATTTGAATTTTGGGAAAGGGGAAGGGTGCGGGGGAGCGTATCTATCAACGGTCATATTCACTAAATGACGATTCGGAATTGAAAAGATAAAAATATGATTTGATTTGATACAAAACCTTCCTTAATTAAAGATTTCAAAATATTGATTACTTTTTTTTTTTTTTTTTTTTGAAAGCTACTGGTTCTATTACATTGTAGTATCTGTTCATATACTTTCTCAACCTATTGAAACACAAAGAACCAATAACGTCTCCACTGAGGCTCGAACTCATAGTCTTCCAAATGGAAGTCCAACCCGGGTACCATTAGACCACATAGTCCTGGTCAAAATATTGATTACTTAATGCTGCTGCTTTTACTAATTACTGGAATGTGATTATTTAGGCTCCTTTGTTAATTTCCTGAAAATAGGCAAAATATGACTTTTTGGTCTATTGTAAAAATTTTATTTATTTATTTTCAATTATTAATTCTATTACTTTTAAATCTTTTATTTTAAAAAAAATTGATTAAGGCCCAAATACAAAAAAAATTCAGAAAATGACTTTTACTCATTTTTCAGGTTTTTACACTGGCCCTTAAATTAGAATGAGTTAAAATTTATTTTGAATTGAAACTTAGAATTAGTTGGGGTTGACTATCATAAGTTTAAAAGGAATGAATGAATTTTTCCTCTCGCCGTATTCGCGAGTTTTAGGGTTTCCGTAGGGTTTTGCGTTTTGGCCGTGACGAAAGACTGAAAGCCGGTGAGACACGATGGAAGCTGATGATGTAGCCGACCAGTGCGCGGGCCTGACTCTAGCAGACGTAGATGATGATGGAAGTTTCATGCAGATTGCAGATGAGATTGACGCCCCGATTGTGGAGGAAGACTGCTACTATGCGGTGGGGAGGTTAATAACAACCAGGTCAGTACGTTTTGCCTTCTTTCAAGATACAATGGCGGGGGTGTGGCAGCCTGCTATGGGGGTTAATATGCGTGAGTTAGAGCCACGTAAGTTCTTGTTCCGTTTCTATCATGAGGGGGACCGAGCTCGGATATTGAGTGAGGGTCCATGGGCATATGAACAAAGCTTGTTGGTGATGAAGGAGGTGCCGTCCGGGGTTGATGCGGAGACGGTAGCCCTAACTCATGCTGAGTTTTGGGTTCAGATTCATGCATTGCCAGTTGGGTTTCGGTCTGATGTGGTTGTGAGGGCAATAGGCTCGTTTGTGGGCTCGGTTGTTCAAACGGATTCTCATAATTTTGATGGTTCGTTACGAACGTTTTTCCGTGTTCGGGTCTCCGTTGATGTGTCTAAACCACTTAAGAAGCATATGAGATTGAAGAAGGGAGGTGCAGGATGGGTTGTGGTGGATTTCCGGTACGAGAGGCTACCCACATTTTGTTTTCTGTGTGGGGTGATTGGGCATGGGGACAGGTTTTGCCGCCTAGCTTTGGGGCGGGAGCAGCCGATTATGGACAAGCCATATGGGGCCTGGCTCAGGGCGGGGACGAGGAGAGCTACGCCGACGCAGAATCAATGTTGGATCCCTCCGCAAGTGGCTGCTGAGAGGAAGCACTGGAGGTCACCGGTAATGGGGGGTGTGGCCGGTTTTGGTGTGGAGAGTGCTGGACTAGTTGGGGAGGATGGGGTGGAGAAGGGGGATGGAGGCAGTGTTGGGGCGGTGGTGGGGTACTGTACAGGAGGAAGGGGAACGTGGCAGTGTGGGGGGCGGTGTTGGGGGCAGTTTTGTGGGAAGGAGGGGGGGGGGGGGGAGGCAGTGTGGTCTCCGAAGTTGGGGGCAATGTTGGGTTGAGGGGGGATGATGGCAGTGAGGTTGACGTGGAGGGGGGCAGTGTTGTGGGAATGAATGGTGGAGGCAGTGTGGAAATCGGGGGTGGGGCCAGTGTTGTGGGATGGAATGGTGTTGGCAGTGTGGAAAATGGAGGAGGGAGCAGTGTTGTGGTGAGAGGGGACGGGGGCTGTGTGGTGGTTGGGGAGCAGAAACGGAGGCATGTGGAGGAGGTGATGTTAGAGACGGTTTCGGGTATGGACTGTGATGCTTCGGTTTCAAAAAACGGCTTGGAGGCGGGTCTTGCGGCGCAGACCCGCCCAGAATTATGAGTCTTTTATCATGGAATTGTCGGGGGCTTGGCAACCCAACGGCAATTCGTGTACTAGCGGACTTGGTCCGTTCTAAGAGGCCGTGTGTTCTTTTTCTAGTTGAGACGTTTGTTGATAGGCACCGGATGGAGGAGGTGCGTGTACAATTGCGGTATGATAATGTGTTTGCTGTGGATTCGGATGGGCATAGTGGAGGATTGGCGGTTTTGTGGATGAATACGGTGGAGTTGAGGGTAACGGACTATTCTGCTAATCATGTGGACGCGGAGATTGAGTTGGATGTTGGGAGTCCGAGATGGCGTTTAACGGGGTATTATGGATATCCGGAACGAACCCGACGTAGGGAGGCCTGGCAGATGTTACGCACACTATCGGGGCGGAGTCAGTTGCCTTGGTTGGTCGTGGGAGACTTTAATGATCTCATGGACCAGTCAGAGAAACGGGGGCGTGTGCCACACCCGGAGTGGCAGATTAATGGGTTTAGAGCGGCGGTGGATGATTGTGGTCTGCATGATGTGCCTTTTAGTGGAAATCAGTTCACGTGGGTGAAGTCCAGGGGAACTGATCATATGATTGAGGAGAAGTTGGATCGAGTCCTTGCATCTGATGATTGGCTTATTCTGTTTGAGGGTGTACGGGCGCAATCTTTAGTTGTCCCTTACAGTGATCACTCGCCGTTGTTAGTCACTCCAGTTGTGTTACCCGGGGTTCGGAGGCGGTCACGGTTTTGCTTTGATAATATGTGGCTACGGGAGGATGTGTGCCGAGAGATTGTGGTGTAGAGTTGGACCCGGTCTGCGGGTTTGGATACTATATCTAGAATCGGTATGTGTGCCACGGATATTGGTCGTTGGGGCCGTCAGTATAATAAGGAGTTCCAGCGGAGGATAGACCGATGTAAGAGCCAGATGGAAAGGTTGTGTATGCGGTGGGATGGGTATGGGATGAAAGGTTATGCAGCTGCGCATAATGAGCAGTTGTTTTTGCTAGAACAACAGAGTTTGTACTGGAAGCAACGGGCTAAAGAGCACTGGTATAAGGGGGGCGATGTGAATAGTAGATTTTTTCATAGTTTGGTAAAAGCCCGCCGGCGGAGGAATAAGGTGGTGAGGTTGCAAGATGGGGAGGGTAATTGGGTTGAAGGGGAGGAACAGGTAGGAGGGTTGATGGTGGCTTATTTTGAGGAGTTGTTCTCGCCGGACTACGGGGATGTACAGGAGGTGATTGATGTTATTACAAGTAGGGTTTCTGAGGTGGATAATGCAGGGTTGTTAAGGCCGTTGAGTATGGACGAGGTCCGTGAAGCAGCTTTTCAAATGCATCCGGATAAATCGCCTGGTCCTGATGGGTTTGGTCCGGGGTTTTTTCAGCACTACTGGGATATTGTCGGGGGAGAAGTGTGGTTATTTTGTAAGCAGTTTCTTGAGACTGCAAAGTTACCTCAGAGGGCAACTGAAACTTTTATTGTGCTGGTGCCTAAGAAGCCGAGCCCGGTGTCTATGAAGGATCTTTGCCCTATTGCCCTGTGCAACATGGTCTATAAAATCGCGGCAAAGGTATGTGCTAACAGGTTGAAACATATGTTGCATAATTTGATTTCCAGTGCGCAGAGTGCTTTTATTCCGGGGAGACTAATCTCGGATAACATAATGTTGGCATATGAGGTGCACCACTACCTGAAGAGGAAAACGCAGGGACAGAATGGTGTCGTGGCGCTGAAATTGGACATGTCCAAGGCTTATGATAGGGTTGAGTGGTTGTATCTGGAGGCTGTAATGCTGAAAATGGGTTTTGCTAAGCACTGGGTCGATTTAATGATGGAGACGGTAACATTTGTGCGTTATAGTGTGCTGCATGAGCATCGACAGTTGGGGCCTATACTCCCAGGAAGGGGACTTCGTCAGGGGGACCCGCTTTCGCCCTACTTGTTTCTATTTGTAACCGAGGGGCTCAGTGCTTTGTTGGAGAAGAGAATGGCTGGGGGTGTGTTGCATGGTGTCACAGTTGCTAGAGGAGCCCCGGCGATCTCTCATCTTCTTTTTGCTGATGACTGCTTTTTGTTTCATCGGGCGAATTTGGATGAGAGCGTGCAGATGAGGTATGTCCTGGACACTTATTCTAAGGCTTCGGGCCAATGGGTTAATTATGATAAGTCTACTGCGTGCTTTAGTGCAAATGTTCAGCAGAATGTGCGAAATGAGGTGGTGGAGGTTCTGGGGGTGGAGGAAGGGGTTATGAGTGGAAGGTATTTAGGCCTACCATCCCTAGTTGGCAGGAGAAAGAAGGAGATTCTGGGTTTCATCAAAGACCGAATACTTGTTAAGATCAGATTGTGGAGTGCAAAGTTCCTATCGAGAGCAGGAAGGGAAGTCCTGTTGAAGAATGTGATTCAGGCAATGCCCACCTTTGCAATGATGGTTTTCTTGTTACCCGTGGGACTGTGTCGGGAGATTGAGACGTTGATGAATTAGTATTGGTGGACTGGCAGTGTAGGAGGGGGTCGGGGCATCCGGTGGCGCTCTTGGGAAGGGTTGTGTAGGCCGAAAGTTTGTGGTGGGTTGGGGTACCGGAAATTGCATGAGATGAATAAAGCGTTGCTTGGGAAGCAAGCTTGGCGTTTGGTAACCAGGCCACATTCTTTGGTGGCTCAGGTTTACAAAGCGCGTTATTACCCGAGGTGTGGTTTCTTTGATGCAACGGAGGGTAGCAATCCCTCTTACATTTGGAAGGGTATTATGGCGGTACAAGGGGTGTTGAAGGAGGGGTGTAGGAGGGTTGTTGGGAATGGGGCGGACACGATAATTGGTTTGGATCCCTGGTTGCCAGATGAGAACAATCCGTATGTGGAAACAGAGTTGCACCAGTCTGTCATCGGGGCTCGGGTAACG